ACAACGCGTCCGTAAGAAAGAAACCAAACTGAGCGTACTTACAACTCTGGAGCCGGGCGTTTGGCCAAGCAGCGGCAGAAGTGTCTTCGTAAGAATGTACACACCCATGGTGTTCATGGCAAAATTCGTTTCAAAGCCATCCTCGGTCAGTTCGCGCGTTGGAAGCACGCAAGCAGCGCAGTTCACCTGCACATAAACGTACAGACCGAAAGCTGTGCTCTGAACACTCAAATAGTGATTTGATTCCAAAATGATGGCGGGGGTGGCAGGGGTGCAAGGTCTGAACATACGTTGCAGGAGCTCTCTTCCGAGACCAAGTTTAGGTATGACCGAAATGCATGAATCTTTTGGTTACCAAATGTGTTTCATTAAAAAAAAAGATTCAATTAACGCAACAAATGATGTTCGGAATGAACTGGCCTATATTGATGTGCGAACACATTATTGGGAAATTCACAAGAAAACGAACTTTGGCACTTGTACACTGATCCAAATACTGATTTTTATTTTTAAATCTAAATGTAGGCCCTACACATAACATGCACAGACTTATTTCGGGTAACCTTGTTTTTTATAAGCCTATAAATAGCACTGTGCGTTAAACCTAATTATATACTGGTTACCAGTCATATAACGAGCAATCCCGGTGTCTAATGCATGGAATATCAATGACGAGCTTTTTTAAAGCCCTTTATCCAAGGATGAATGATCTGAATATGGAAGATTGACAACGCTTTGGAAAGTACTGGTCTGAAAAATTTAAAATCAAACGTGTGTGCGTGTTATGAAATATGTTAAGTGTCAACTGCTTTGGACACCATAAGATCAAACGGTGGCTTCTGAGAGACTATAAAAAGTATTACATCCAGAACAGTAAATCTTAAATCTCACCAAAACGTCCAATGTCTTCCAGTTCTCCGCAAACTTTTTGGCAAATTTATACACGCGTCTGAGTTGAGACAAGTCTAACACGTGAAGATGTACGTTCTGAAACACAAATATAATTTGCGTGTGTCAAACCAAGCGTCTAATCCAGAAAACTATCGAGGAATCTTGCTTTAGTTGTGGTCATATCAAAGCTGTGTGTTGGTCACTTTTGGAGGACTCTGGCCTGAATCGGATGAATTCCACCAACATGTTTCCATATCGGCCAATGTATTCTTGCCACTATGAGGTTTTAGGTATGCAACAGAGGCGACAAATTTCTCATTCTTAGAGCATACATGTGGCGTAAGTTATTACTGATAACTACAAATCGGGGCTTTGTCCGCCGATGAACCCGACTTAATTACCGGATGTCAATATCTTTACGAGTGTGTCAATAAAAACTCGCAATTGCGTAACTGATGAGATCTGCGGGCCACCGCAGAATCCAGTCTCTCTGTAGGGACATTCTGTGATTTTATGCTGGTGGTTGGAAAATTCCCAATCACATGTACAGCCGTTATGCTAAGAGTATTTTAACATTATGTACATGCGAAGCTGCATTAGGGACATGGTGAAATAATCTTTCGCAGTTCCTTAAAAAAAATCGTAAGCCGTACGTACGAGTTACATAATTCAAGGGTACGACTTATAACCCGTATCCACAACTTATGAATCTTTTAACTTGTTCGTATGACTTTCAACTCAGATGAACGATTCAAAAGTTGTACTCAGCTTTGGATATTTGTTTACTCAGATGACTTAGGCTATACGTGTTACGGGTACTAATGAAGTCGATGTGCAAGTTATAGGCCTATGTCATGCGTATAGTTCAAAATTGTGAGCCCAAGGTACGTATGCGTGCATTTCAATCCGAACATACAACTTACAGTTTGTATATTGTGACTTAGCTCAGAACTGAAATGGGAAAAAAATTCAAACAAGACCCTAATACAGCTTCGTATAATGGTCATGCATTAACCCATGCCTATTCCCCTTCATTCATCGTCTCCTATACCTCGTTTGCACTGTCTTTTATGATCTCCGTTCGTGTCGCCTGGTCTGCGTTCAAACACAGCATGTGGACTCGACCACCTGAAATATTTAGCAATCAACGTCATAAGTAAATTGGATGTAGTCCGAACTCACTGTTAGAAATCTAACTTTTTAAATCCCATCTATATTTCATGTTCATTTTTATCTATTTGTGGCAAATTGTGGTCACCGACCAAATTCCAAGGGGCGATTTCAAAATATAGTACATTTATGTATAAACATTCAAATTTACTGCAAAGGTAACTAAAACTGCTTTCGAAAATGGCAAATGTGTAAACTGTGAATTGTTTTAACTTTACACATTGATTCTTGCCCTATTCATTTAGATTGAAAACAAGAATAAAAGCTTACACACAATGGCGAAAAAGGGGTTAAAAATTCAATTGTTTGAAGCCTGAATTCGCAAGGTGTTAATTCGATTTCTCACTTTTCAAACCAAAAAGTAAAGTATCTTTAGGCAGGTTATTTATTTTTTTTTTTTTGTAAATGGCTTTGGTGCCTTTTAAAGGGTTTTTAGTTTAATTCAAAAGAATAAGAATAAAGTAATGATCAATTGCTGTTCTTTTAAAGCATCATTTCTTCTGAATTTACCTCTTTTAGCGAGTTCCACGGTAACGTTCTTACCGATCCCTGTATTGCTTCCTGTCACCATGAATGACTTGCCCGTGAGGTCCACGTCTAAAGCCGCTGGGTCAAACTCCTTGGAAGCTTCCATGAATCCATCCCTTGGGAAAGAGCAAAATCGAAATATGAACTAAAAATACAATAACATTTATCGAAAACCAACAAAGGAAGAAGAATTCTGAATGAAAATCAATCATTGAAATGTCTTAATGTAATGTTCGACGTAAACGTGCCAATGTTTGACAGGCAATTTGGGACAAATTTGTAGGAATCAGAAACAGCACAAATCCAAAACACATTCTCTCTTGGGTTCGATTTAATTTCTACTTTAATATCCAAGACCATAATGATTATTATAAATTTATTAAAAGGATTAATGTACAAATTTCTGTACTAAAACAATTCTTCTGAAAGATCTAGCTCCTGTTTTCAATTCATGTCCAATTGAATTATAGGACACCCTGAATAGCAACTGGAAATCCTGTTAAAGTTAGCATGTTCAGCAACTCGAATGACGTGTCTCCGTTGACTATCGAGAATTCACCCGTATACAATCGACTGGCACTCACCTGAAGCATTCATCCCCTGGATAGCCGAATTCCGGATTGTTAAAATCTTCCATATTTACCTACTTTGGAATCTGAAAAAAAGATGAAACAAAATGCAGGAAAATTATAAATACGTGAATGTTGCTGACGGTGTTAACCTTTAAACTGTAAAAGAAAAACAAACAAACAAACAAACAAACAAATAAACAAAACAAACAAAACAAAAACAAAAAACCTATACATTGTTTTACAGTGTTTCTTCAAGGTATGCTGACATTATTAGTACCCAACAAAATGTCCACAATTTTATCCTGACCGTCTTTCCGTACGTGATTGTCTTTCTAACACTTCAACATGTAACGCTGTTCCAAAATTTCACCGCAGCCACAACAGGCTGGTAGTTTAGTGACCAAACTCCGCCCCTGATACTTAATCTTACAAGGAAGGCTGCAAAAGGGTTAATTATTCGCATCACTATTGTTTTCTGCACCGATGCATTATGCACTGAGCGTCAGTCTCTAGCAGATACCAGCACGTTTTACAGAGAATCTGAAGGTGTGCTTTATATCTTTGCGACATGTATGCTCTAAGAATGAGAAATTTGTCGCCTCTGTTGCATACCTAAAACCTCATAGTGGCAAGAATACATTGGCCGATATGGAAACATGTTGGTGGAATTCATCCGATTCAGGCCCGAGTCCTCCAAATATGTCATCGTTTACGCACTTATATTACTGTAATTGGCATTTAAGAAAACGCAAACTTTGACACTAGTTATTACTTAAATAAGCCACAATAAACATGATTAGGGGCGGATGGGCGCCATGCCCTCTCTGAAGAAAAATAATTTTTTTCTTTGAAAAAAAAATCAGTGAGAGAAAGGCCATTTTCTCGCTCTGTTTAATTGCCCTTCCTTCAAAAATTTGTAAAAGCCCATCAATGTAGCCTCACTCCATGATAAGGCGATAGTAGGGAACTTGAAAATATTCTGAACATTTTTGTTATAGACTTAAGCTGCATCCGAATAAATTATGGAGTCATGTGCAAGGACAGTTAAGGCTATCAAATGAGGGAGCCTTATAAGGGTTATGCGACCTGGCGGGCCGAGCGCGACGACCGTGTAGTGCGTATCGCGCCGGCTGAAGGGATGGCTATGGCTAGGGAAGAGCAACGTAAGTCTGACTTGATTCAAGCCTTAGATATTAACACGTTTGGAAATACGGGGAGACGCGACAATAGACGTAGCCATAGCTCTAGAAGCCCGTTTTGGCTACGGTCATAACAATTATGCATTTTGTCCTCGATAATGTGCGAGCCAGTTGTATTATGCGCGCAGCAAATACCTCGTCCCCAGGGGCTACTCGTTTTGTTTTAATAGAAGGCCATGGGCGCGCACTGCAGACTATTAGAAAAGGTTGGTGCTGCAGAGTAATCAAGGGATTGCTCGTATCGTGCACGGTCGCTACATGATAAAAAAATAATGAGAACATTTTTGTTGGCAGTTGGTGGGTGATCGCCATGTCCGCGATGATCGCAGCTCATTACGACAACACCCTCTCGCTGCGGCGGAAGCTTAACATTTTTTGCAGGTGTCCTTTAGTCACCCGTCGCATCATCGTCGTGAGCACAGTACAACTCGACGGGCGGAAGCGGTGAGCTGGGAAAACAAAAATCTGCTAGATGGAAACGACTCAACTGCACAGCGCGGCGTCAGTCTTTGTATAAAAGCGATGGGGATGGTGCAAAGACACGATGCGATGGCATGACACAGTGGAGCCGTCGTGTCGTGCGTTGGAGCAGCTACGCAATGTGTGACAATAGTATACAGCATCACAGTGTGCTCCCCCTCACAAGCAAATACTTTCCTCTTTTTTGAAAGGGAATTGTCAACTGGCGGTGAGCCTACTTATGGTTATAAATCGATGCTTGATTGATACTCTGTTACACTTCATGTGCTCTTCAAGACTGCAAAAGTTCCCCCCACTTCCCCGAGTCGTCTCGTAAAAGCACATACATATAAATGTATACAGAGCTCTCTCGCAGTCGAGCTTGAGAAAACTATACATGTACAACCACACTGCCCCACCATTCAAATTAGTAATTCAAAAAGCTCAATGAGTATATTACAAAAAAATATAACCTTGTGCGCATATGTTTTATGACCGGGAGACCTGCTGGACGTGTATGAAGCCCAAATGATGCATGTGCGTGACTACAACATTAATTCTTAACGATCTTTGTTGCTGGAAGAGGGGATTTTACTGCAAAGAGTGGCGAACAAACATGATCGCAAATTGAGAAAGGACAAGTTTCGTAACTAAGACTTTTCAAAAGTCCAAGCCAGTATTCTTCATTAGCTCGATATACCGGTTTCCGCAGCTAAGTGCGAATACCTTGTGACCTCTAACCCTATCGACAGTGTGCGAGGTTTGAGGAAATTGGAACGTCTTAAAGTCATAAAAACTCAGCGGAGTGTATGTGTACATTTTAATGAGATAGGCTCATCGTATTAAACAATTTTGTTGCGTGTAATAATTGCAAAATAAAATTGAAAATTACAAAATGTAGGCCTATAAAACTACGATGAAAGACATTCAAAACCTCGAATGGTCTTAACATCTGCTGAAAGAACCTCCAGTAATTTTGTCACTCGATTCCATGAGGTCCTTTAAAAAAAAAAAAAAAATCACCGAAAATACTGATAAGCATGCCGCAGGCACAGTGAGGCCTGCTCAGAGTTAAAAAAATCGATTGCTAGACCAAAGTGTAACTCAGCAACTGATTCCAAAATTACAGACACTGCCTGTCACGGTATAATGCCATAGTAACCGTGTGCTCTGTATGCGAGGCCACAACACAGGCCTATAGAAAAATGAAACCAACAATTCGTGGACCGAAATATTCATGAAAATGACAACAACGTGCATTATTCTCCAACCGGATTAAGGATGTTCAGGAAAGGAGCATGCGTAATCGATCATGTGGACAGACGGCTGTTGCCTGACTCCGACGTTGCATTTTTAGGAACCCAACACTGCGGAGCCATATGGTGCTGATATATCCATCTGAGTCTAGACCTATGTACAAACGTAGGTAAGCTGAACAGCTGTTACAGTTCAAATCTATGAAACAACCTACAACAGCCAAATCTTCATTTGCATCCCCCATCACCCACGACAGTCTGAGATCTCTCCTGCATGACTCTTGCAGGTTGATGGTTGCTGTCTTGGTTGTGTACACAGACATCGCTTCATCTACACAGCCACTGGCACAAGAGCGGTTAGGACTAGACAGCAAGGTAACGTGTGACAATCTATTTCCCCGTTTCTGTTTTTTTTACTATTCTTGTATGAGTCGATTACATCAACAGAGTACAGGAATACTGTAAATTGTCATTTCTTTATGTAGATCACAGTCGGAAGAGCCATACAATAACGTTATTTTTGGGCTACATTGACAACGATCTTAAAATTGTCCTTTGTAAAAAAATTGTATATTCAATATAGGCCTAGGCCTATGTCCGCAACCGTTATAATAATATTCCAGAGAATGTTAAGTGATGAACATGAAGTCAATTAACTATTTCCAAATAAACACAGATGAACGGCAGTTATTTCAACAAATTTAACGGTGACTTAAAAATGAGGCTTTGTGTATTAGCTATTCTCTTGCTGTACTGCGTTGCATGGTAAATTGTCGCATTTGCTTTTTGAAATTTACGGTTCGTACAACGTGTCGGCTTTTCTACGCAGACATTAATTTGCCCGGAGCAACTCACGAAATTGTAATGAGAATACTGGTGTACGATAGTGAAAAGTTAATGGATCGCAAAGGCAGGGAAGGTTTTCTCCTGTGCCCAATAAATTCATGCCACATTATTCTGTAGTGAGAATTAATTGAGGGAGATAATTATTATTCCATCGCCCTGAAATTCAGCGCAGTCACGTAAGCCAATGTCCGCACAATCAATGTGCAAAGTTCTCTGCAGAATTAGATGCGGAGTGATAATGTTTGGTATTGCCTCATTTTGGAAAGCTGAATTCTAACAAGAAATTCGTATAATCTAAAGTATGATTCGTGGTTTAAAAAATTAAGAAGCCGGATTTTGCAAATTTAATCAGATTTTTCAGATTTGAATCGAATTTTTTGTAATGTTTATAAAAGTTGCAGACAACTTGGCTTAAGTGTCTATTCCAAGCATGCGAATTAGCTGCACGTGTGTTAATGTTTTCTCTCATTCATTACAAATTACACAAATTCGGAATTAAAGTAAGAAATTTCAATTAAGTGAATCAAGTAATCTGATTAAAATCACAAACCACCTCAAATGTTGCCACGCGTCCAGGTAAAATGCATACAGTATATACAAAACATGTATCGCAGAGAAGGCAGTTTCTGTAGAGACGCAGGTACATGTACCAAAGGTGAAATGCGTAACAGGTTTAAAACCAAAATATAAATTTTGACAAAACCAGAGTGCACGGGAATTGCTTTAATACAAGGAACTCATACCTAATAACCAGTGAGTAGAAAAATATCATCAAACACACGTGCATGTATTTATTTTACATGCTATTTGTGAGTACGATTTTACCGCATAATGACCAACATCTCTAATCTCAATGTGCATGTAGAGATTGATATATCTGTACATGATAGATATACGTTGATCCTTAACCATGTTACACTCAGAAGTGGACACTTCAAATGACGTGAAATTAAATCAGGATTTTAAATCCTCTACATGACATTCATGCACAGAATCCAAAAAGTTGATTGAAATCCAAACAAGTGGCTTAAAATGAACAAAATAATCCTCCAAAATAATCCTGTTGTGTGTAGTACGTGTACATGTGCATTTGTAATTTCTTATACCAGGAACTGAAGGGCTCACAGAGGGGGATTTGCTGTTTAATTAATGTGCAAAACCTGGAAAACTTATCAATGAGTTGGAAAAAACATCAAAAAGTGAACCATTTTTGTCTAATTTTAAAAACAATTATGTTGATCAGCCAACCCTGATCGAAAGTAGGGTTGATACTTTTCAGCGTCGTTCCTTTACCGTTTGAATAAAACTCGGATTTGGATAATTGAGTTCTTGACGTCTAAGTTTAAGCAATCTCTGTGCCTTTATTTGAAAGCAAGCTTAATTGTATTGCAATCAAATAAAGATTTTCGTGCATGAACGAGCCCACCGATGTAAGCTTCCTTCAAGATCAGAATGTGATTCGGATACAGTCTCCTTCTACGCCTACACCACTCACTGCTTAATTTGATTCTATCGAGAGCTTGTGAACAGCCGGCCTGTGCGGAGAGGCTCAGATAATCTGATTAAAGTCCAGATTACGGGCTCATCACGAGGGCGCGTTTATTACTGTGTTATAAAGCGTTTGTATGCGTGTGTCGATTTTCTAGGTACATCTATTTGTTCATGCGGAAACCATTTTTGAATATTATTTATCTCAGTTCGTAAACTAGTTATTTAAAATTGCTCTCTGGATTAATCATTGGCCTCCGTGAGTAAGCAGGCGGCGTAATCGGGACTCACATTACATATTCCAGTAAACGTGCAGCAGCGGACAGCAATGACGCTTAATACAAATGCATAGACACGGCTATATAAGCACGGTACATGATCACATTACATACCATCACCGATATTTCTGTCATTCCTGCAAACAGAATTTCTGTCGGCAAGAGCAGTAAATGATAGGGACCTAACGCACGTGAGCACCTGTAACACATTCGTAACCCATCTTAGCAGGCGTGTAGCGTCAGACCCCGAATGATTAAATTGAACGGTCTTTCGAGCGCAAACAAAAGCAGTAGTTTCCAACACTTGAGTAGAGTTTCAATGCAACATTATGTAAAAACAATATTAATTTTGTTAACATTCATTTGATAAAAAAATAGTGGGGTAAATTATTTTTAGGGTCATATATTATTCTAATGTATTCGCAGAAACCGAAAATAGCTCATCTTTTAAATGATCAAATCCGTTTATGATACCTCGAGGCAAAAGCACAGAAGTTAATAATGAAACCCACACACGTGTCAACGAAAAAAAACGTAAGCCGTATCTACCGTTCGCGACGTGAGAGGAATTGTTACTATAAACACACATGGTCAGTTCACACTGTTTCAAACATATTGAACAACAGCAACGAATTTCGGTGAGTCTCCAAAATGTCAGTGCAGTCACGTAGCCAGCGCAAATGCCGTGAAATGTCGACACTCCTCATGCAGGTGGCGATGTGACAGTTGATAGCCAGCGTGACCTCAACATCGCATTAGTTGTGGGTCCTGTGCGACTGAATGTTGGACCAACATTTATGTATTATTTGGATTCCAAAACCGCTGAATAACGCAAATTTAGAAAAGAAATTATATCATTTATTCCCGACTTTTTTTGGGGGGGGGGTGTTTGAAACAAATGTACTAAGTTCATTTTTTCCCTTCTCCAACTCCAGGTAAGTTATCAAAAAAAAGAGGGGGGGGAATATTCGTTTTCGTGCAAAATGCCACACTGCGTTGTTAGTCCGATAAATTTAAAAAATACTGGCCTTGGGGATTGTTTTTTACAAAAATGACCAGTAACTGGGAGGGATAAAAAGAAACCCATAGGATTTTCAATGCAAGCTTGGTGGTCTTTCTTAGCGGTGAGGCTAAACTCGAACTGAGGAAATTTAATCGCCCTCTCTCGATATTAAAAAAAAAATCGGAGAGGAATAGCCCCGTTCCTCCATTCCTACATCCGCCAGCGACTGTTGGTGAACCGTAAATACACAGTCCCTCGCTAGAAAAGTGGGTCAACATTTTTAACCCTTAACATTTCTGTTTTCAGCCATGGACTACAAGGTCCTTAAGTGGCAGTCATACCTGCTTGTCGCGGCCATGGTTGGTGTCGCAGAAGTGAGTGCATCTATGACGCAAGGCAAGTGGCGCTACAGGACGGACAGCGACGGTGACATGCACGGAGGAGTACCAATGGGTATCCCAAATGACAAATGTGACAATGCCAAGGTGGGTGCGCAGGCCTGTCACTGGATATGGGATAAATACCTCTATACACGCATTTTAGTGGCAACATGCAAAACCATGTTTTGCGTGCAAAATCACAGACCAGTCAGAGACCATGATTCGGGAGTCACTCACCCCGACTCGGAAAACATTTTCATATGACTAGGAAAACCCCGACTCGGAAAACATTTTCATATGACTAGGAAGGCGTGTTTCTGCCAACCAATGACAACTCGTTAACATCTTTGTATTTTAGGGGCAGCTAAGATGACACGCCCATATTACATCCCGCTTGCTGTTCCTGCATGTTACTAGTACCACTGTGGTTTACATAGAAGTGGCTTGATCAAACATACATGTACCCCAGAGCAATTTTATGCATATCATTAACAAATCCCACAATAGGAACCGTTCAGGATGAATAGAAGTTGTATAGCTAAACTTTAATTTTTTGGTAACTTGGAATGGTCAGCAAGTTATTGGCTCGGGGGTTGAATTTCTGGATGATCTCTGAAAACATTTTCTTTCGAGTCTGAAAAAAATGTTGCCCATGAAAGGTGTGTCTGCCTTTTTGGAGATGGATTCCCTTCGTTTCATTTCTCACTCTGGCAGGATCATCTTGAAGTTGACTGGAACAATATGACACAGGACTACCAATGTCTGGGATCAATATACACGAACGAAAAGGTATTATACGTGCATATGCAACACTTTCTCTAAATTTCTGCCACATATGCTAGAAAATAATTAGTTTGTTTCTGTAGAATCTCTGTCTACAAAATTATCGCTGGCCTGGAGTTTTGGGTTTAATGTGCATATTTCTGCATTCAAGCAAATGGTATGACCACTTTATAGACAGATCATACTTTTCTGAGGGAGGAAATCACACTTTAAATGCAAGAAAGAGTTTTGAAACACTTGCCAATCATACGTCGGTTCAAATTTACTATGTGAATTCCATCGTCAGAGTGTTTCAAGTGACTAATCAATGGAACATAGCACTACGCTAATTTGTAACTAAAACACTTACAAAAGAATGGTGGCCATCGCACAAATAATAATCCCCCTTCTTTCCTTTTTTTCTAAAATCAAGACGCTGAAATTGTTTTTCCTTATTTCTCCTCAATAATGCAGAATCCAGCAACTATTCCAGCTGCACAGTGCACCACTCTTCTGGACCCAGTAAGTAAAAAAAATCCTGCCAGATTGTTATAATAGCAAAAAAAAATATTTTTTGTAACGATGATTTTGATATGATGAAAAATGATAATTTACAGTAAATTTTAATTGATATTTTATTGGAAATGTATTATCCTGTAACAAAAGTAAGTGTCCAATCATCCATGAAGTAGAAATGTTTATACTACACGATGTTTCTACCCCGACTTCACTTCATAACCTTTCTTGATTTTCAATGAACAAGTCTCATTTTGTCTCGCTTTTTGGCCAAGATGGGAGAGTAGATTGAATACCTAACGAAGGCATTTAAGAGGGTTATTTTCTTACGTAAATTAATTTAAAACATTCTGTTTACCTGCTGTTTTTAACCCACTGCTTTATGCTCGGAGATGGATTCATACGCTGTGTACTTACCAAAATGTGGTGAAGCAAGGGAACAAAACCGGGAGATATGCTGTTTCGCCAAAAATGACCACAAAAACGATCTTTCCGTCAACAGCCGATTCACGTGTGCCTACCGGAACCCATCGCCTACCGCGACCCCATCCCAACGTCGGGAGCTCACCGCCCACTGTGGGCCAAGTTCGGCGAGTACAGGTACCTCCCCAAGCAACGATGGCTGCACAACCTGGAGCACGGCTGCGCGGTGTTCTTGTACCACCCATGCGCGGATCCCGAACAGGTGGACGAGGTGAGAGCCATCGCTAATGTCTGCCTGCGGAAACACATCATCACACCCATGAAGGAACTGTCCAGAGAAACGGTAAGATCTTGGACCAATTATTTCGAGCATTAGTCAATTAATATCGTTTGAGAACGAGTGCCGTATACAGCCACTAACCGCCTTCCTTAATATGATTCAAAACTACAAACAAAATGTGACACTTGTGACGAAACATTCATTTCGAAGTGAAACATTACAAGTTCAATTTAAAAATACTCAGTCTTTTTCTGTCCTGGCCCATAGATTTTATGTACAAAGTTCCAGGTGGTGGTGTTGGCCTACGGAACTCATTCCCACTGTATTTTCTCCCAAAGCAAAGTTGAGGGGAAATGAATACTCAACTGTACGAGGAAGGTGATAGTGTTCCAAGAATAAAAACGTGTATTTACGACCACCACAAGCATTGAATCTGCACAATTTCAGGGCTATCTCAATTCAGAAAGTAAAACAAGGCCCTATTTCGTTAGAAAACTCAAGTCACTTGAACATCTCTTACACTTCTTGATGAAAATGTTCCCATCCCAATAACACGATTCAGTCTCGTCCTTTTTGAAATGTAAGCTATTTATATATGGCATTCAGCGTACGAGTACATGTACAAGCTACAATTTGTGATTTATACAGCCAATGTTACAAAACACTTACAAACTCCCTTTTTTATGCCAAAAGGGAAAAGATTTTACACAGAATAAGACATACTGACTGATAGCCTCTTCGTTTTTGGCCGACAGCCATTTGCAGTACTGACCTACGGTTGTAAACTGCTCCTGCCATATGTTGATGCTGACCTCATCGTGGACTTTCTCCGGGAGCACGCCCTAGACGCCCCCGAGTCCTCGGTGACGAGTGATGGACAATTTGGGGTAGGATTGGAGAGACCAGCCGCTCGCTTGGAGGATGACAAACCCGGGAGCATCTGCTTAGATTATTTCCGCCAGCTAGAGGAGGTTCTGTTGGATGGATTGCCAATTCTGTGGAAAGGCTAGCTGACGTGTTAAAAGTGTGAAAGATGTGTTTACAATGGAAACGTACTTCACCCCCCCCAAAAAAAAGGATTTGAAGAAAATATACAAAGTGATACACTGCGCAGGGGCGGATGGGGGGGGGCATGGGGCAGACACATTTTTTTCACCAAAAAATAAACGAATAAATAAAAAAAAAAGAAAAGGGGGGGGGGAAGGCGAAGAAAAAGAGGACCCAGACTGCCTGAAAGTGCACCACAGAGGGCCTAGAATCCCTGAGCCCCGGCCCCATGCGGTAATGTCTACATGCTACACACTCCTGGGCATTTATCATACCTGCTCTAGTTCAAACCCCCACCACACACTTTTGGAAAATCATGGATCACGCCTCCTCCTTGGAATATCCTGGATCTGCACCTGAATAGCAAACTTCATTTGCTAGTTTTGGGTCTATTGAATTTCTTTGAATTTTTCCGGGTGGGGGTTGTTTACGCCCGTAATAACTTCACCATAATTAGCATTGCCTACAAAAGTGTCTCGGGGCCTGTAAAAAATAAAGTCTTATAAAAAGAAAACGTAGCTCTCTTATCCACAGGCAGCAATGATGCCAAATCCAAATGATATACTTAAGGGAACCATCACGCAATGGTAACACTCATATGATGTATAATATATCTGTAGAATTTGTGCAAATAGGTCTGCTGTTATGTACATTGGCAAGCATAGTTTTGTGCAGCCTTGAGTCCTATGAGACATCTGTCCATAATGTGCACTCACCATTTTCAAGAAGTGAGCATAAACTGCACATGCTAATGTTGTAATGCTTTTGTTGTTTTCAAACATTCCAACACGAGCCCATGGAGTTAATCATTTTGTGACAACTGAGATATGAAACTCGGACACATTTCAACTTAGTACATAAAGGTAATGGGGACTGCCACACTCTAAAATGAACAGAATGTGAAAAGATTCCTTAATCCTTGGAACTTCACACATGATAAACGTGATGGTACATGATTTGTTGCCTTCAAAATCCTTGTCTCTTTCAGTACACTCCTACACAGAGATGTGGCAAAAGAAAATTTAGGGGACAGGTGAAGTTTATGTATGTCTCCTTTGTGCATTTAAGGAGGGCTGCGTCTTGAACGTGAAGGACTACCAAAGAGAGGTAGGATTTTGTTTTCAACTGATAGAGGACGCAGCCAAACTGAGCTGACATCTGATAGGGCAAAATAAACGTAGAGTAACATATACTTACATGAATAATCAGGAAAATATTAGTCTTGTAATAGAAGAAAATGTTCAAATGGATGACACAAGCGACGTAGCTGAGTACATAGGAATTTTATTTACAGCCTGTATATAATGTACATTTCAGAGTATTAAATATCAAAAAAAAAAAGGCTGTGCGATACAAACAAATGGAATACTTCATAAGAATTGAAATGCATCCAAGTTTGGCTTCAAATTACCCACTGAATCAATTAACAATGACTTCACTGAGCCATTTTGGAATTCTAACGCCAGTTGCAGTGAATGCCGTCCAGGGAAGTCATCAGTAGTGAGTAGGCAAATTCTAGGCCCGTTTGTTTCATGCATAACTGGATCCCGATCAGTAGTCCCAAGGCTGGTTCGTGCTATCCATCAGGCAGGTTCTGGTGCCAGTGAATCAATATCGGATCACAATCTGGATCTAAGAGAACTAAACAGGCCCTCGGAAACCCTCCAGAAATGGCTGATAGAGATCATCTGAAGACCGGACACAAGACCAGTCATGAGTAACTGGGCGAACAATGACTTGAATTCAGATTGGGAATTCAGGTGTCCTGACTAAAATGCTCTATTGTAAGCTTTTTTTCAGAAAATTGTCAGGGGCCAAAGTGCCGCAGCATGAGAATTGAGTCAACAAATCTTAGTGTAGGATTTTATAAACAGAAAAGACCATAGGATTTCTGTTGACAGTAATACCAACAAGGCTTGATGATCCCTTATAAAAGTCTAAGAAATGTGGGCAAAGAGCCTAGTTAAGAGAAATGCATCTCTCAAAGAAGTTACAACCAACTGTCAAATGATACCTTGCGTTATGTTATAAATTCAAGAGGCCAGTTATCCAAACTAACTTGGTGAGTGACCAGTGATTGATGCGAGTACAGTAATAGTGATAGCACCATCAAGAAACTTTCAGCAAACCAGCGACATGTTCTTAAATCATCTGCCAGTATGAAGACAGTGTCTCAACGATCAGGAGCATTCATTTCATTGGACAATTTTCCCCTGCACTGCGAGAACAGTCCACTTTGAGCAGAGACCATTCCAAGGCAGTGATCTGATAGGACTGGCATGTTCCCAGTGGAACGGCTGCCTGTTCTGGAATGAGAACAAGGCATTCCCTTAGCCATGCCATACATCAAAGCGGGAATAGACTGGAGGGCTCCTTTTACTGATAATGAGAGGGCACTGACGCAAGACTTGAGTTATGCCATTTACTGATGAGTTTATGTAGAGATGGTACCGAGGCAAGACTTGCGTTACGCCATTAACTGATGAGTTTAAGCAGAGATGGTACTGAGGCAAGACTTGCGTATGCACATCTCCCAGACATCCAGCATCTGCGTGAGAGAGAACTTGTCCGGCATCCGCTTCAGCTGAGATGAGAGGGTGCGCTGGACTGAGAGGAGGAACGGGGTTTGATCTGTGGACAGAGAGAACAAATTTATACCTCTTGCCAACAGTCTGCCACGAATCCTCACTTTAAGCAGACGAGCTGCTGGGTATATGCCAATACCCTCCACACAGACTGCAGTGTAAGATGCAATACCCTGCCCCAGAAGACTCCAAATCAATGCTGTAGTCAAGACCATCACTTGTAAGACCCCGCAAGACCATCACAGGACCCCAAGCCTGAATTCAAGTCACAGGCTATTTAAATTGACTCTGACCAAAAGCATTCTAGTCACTGATCATCCTGTTACTCGTGACTGGTCTTGTGTCTGGTTTTGCAAGTGGTAATGGGATGGTCTTGACTACAACACTGCTTCAAATGGAGTAATATGAAGAGACCTCATTTGCTTATCATCAAACTAGCTTGAAGTTTGATGGACTGCTCGGTTGCGCATCACAGTAGTAACATCTACGCACTAAACACGGAGCATGTTCTTACACTGAAAACTGAATCGATTGTGAGGATGAAGTTAAGTAAAAGGGTATGCACTGAGCCAACTCCCCACGAGTCTGAAACAACCCTCCCAAATGAATCAGTGTGCAGGAATTGAATGGCACATTCTCTGGAAATCAACTTTCAAACTGCATAACCTTATTGGTAATGTTCTCTGATATCTTGACAAACTAAACTCTATAGCGCCTCACGGATAGTTTTGGAGAGCTTGGAAAGTTAAGCTGAAGGCACTATAGTTGAGCCAATCCTTTGGCAAAAAACAATTTGTGAGGTATTTCCTGTTTCATAAAAGAAGCATGCAAGATGCCATCATGTCCCAGAGAATTTTATATGGCAACTACCATCTTGTCAGCACTTATTGATTTTGCTGACGGCCCAGTGGGTTTCCAAAATGACTGCTAAGATTAAAATGGGACTTCAACAGCCTAGGCAAGTACCGGTGAATGATGCAGCTACAATGCTTACTGTATTCGTGAGTGCTAGTGTCACACTGTGGGCTGACGTCAGGATAGCTGTGGGGAACTGTGATGGATATCGGTGGTACACTGGGTAGCCTCTTATCCTCTGTGAACAACCACACGTAGCAAAAGTGATATCAGAACTTCAAAATTCCACTCGACATGTTGGGTAAGAGTTAAAAGGTCATGACAGCAAAAATATCATTTTTGAAACGACTCTTGGGGCCTTTCACTGTGAGTATGAAGGAAATGTATTGAAACAGACTACATTTGTTTTACTAGGGTTAAATTTCAACATTTTTTCTTGCCCGATTTCATGTTTAACCCTAACCACCCAAAACCTGCCATACTCCAACAGCAGGTTTTGTAAGGTTTTGGCAGGTTTAGTGGCGTACCTGAGGAACTTGTTGAATTTTGTGAGACTTGGGATGAAAGGCCCAGGGAGATGGTGTTGGATTCTGTGTCAGTTGGGACACACAGGATTCATTGTGTGCAGTGTCTGGCTTGTTGTACCAATTGTTGGACTATGCTTGATTTTGTCAGGTTTGGTACTGTTCAGTGCAAGTCATCCTATACTGCATAGACCCATCCATACCATATCACTCAAACTCCCAACGGGCTCATTCTGTTGGAGTTTACCAGGTTTGGTACAGTAACCTGCAAGTACATGAACCTGTTGGATTTTGTGAGGTTCAGTATGCTTTCTAGTGCAGGAGCCTAGGGGGTTAGGGTTAAAATAGTATTTTTCAATAAGGACCTTTTGATAGATGTTTTCCGTAAGGACCTTTTAGCACTGAATATGAAGTAAATACTTCAGGTCGGCCGTATGCTTCACATGTGAACATAATTCACAAAGAAAGAGAGGCCCGTCATTAATTGCGGCACTACCTAATCTGCATATGAGGTGCACATCATTCCCGCCCGGGTGATGCGTTTCATCTAGGCTGACTTTGAACTTGGAGGCCAGCCTCGCCACCTCTCCTTGAACAATGTTGGGCACGGCAAAAGTCTGTGAGTCGCTCTCCGTCTTCTGACGTTTGGCTGGAGGAGTGGCGGCCGGATAGCTACGGGAATGGAAAAAAATGAGGATAGAGAGTTCTAGCAATTCTGTCAGCTAAGGCGTGCCATGACTGTTCACAAATCTGCAACTCTTATTCTCCACTATACTTTGGCCAAGAATGCCAGCCGGATGTACATATGTACATGCATGAACCAGTGAACAGTGCAGCGGATCCGACTGGATGGAAGTTTCTGCATGAAAGCTATATAGATAAAATTGTGACAACTTCAGATTAGAAGCCATTTTGGTTCCAAAGCTGGCATGCACTTTTATTCACAATCGATCCATTTGTACAACTTTAATCTGCCATTTTCCAATCATTTCATACTGCAAGCTCTGCATAGCATGGTGTCGCTCACAACCTCATGTTGTAACTCTGAATACGCCTCTGCGCTGAGCCATGAAAGAGCTCACTCTCTCACAGACACGCAGGGCCGGGTAGGCTAAAAGCTTCTCACCCAGCTGAGCATAACAGAAGTTCCCGCCACTTACTTGGTAGGCGGGCCATGTATTGCCGTCATTGCTGGTCCAAACGTTCGCTGCAGGGAGTGATTCAAGGTGGGTAACTTGATGCTTTGCATGATGACTTCAAACAGCGGGGTGCAGATGTTCCTGGGAGTAGAGGCTGGCGCAGCGGGTGTGGACACAGCAGTGGAGGCAGTCGGAGCCGTCGACTGTGAAGTCTGTTGGAATCAACAGTGTCAGGGCTGACTGGGTTTAGCACAGCACATTGGCATGGGCCTTATCCTTATCCATGGGATGGCAACCTTACATCTGATCTTTAGATCCAATTTTATGCACTCAACTCTCCTGATCCCAACAGAGCCAGGTTGTTTGGTAACAAAGGGTAAAGTTGGTCTCACTTTAACCACTTGCTGCTGGGCAGCCCCGTTTTGGGTGCCTTGGGTTTGTACGCATAGCCAGAGTGCCTGAAATTGGACAAAAGAGTTGGGCCTTGTACCATCGGGGACAAAAGCACTCCAGCACTCCAGTGATGAGCAATACAATACCGCTGCATGCTAATCTCGCCCCCATTGAAAAGACGCCAGCAGCACACAGTGCCAATTTAGGGAACAAAAGAAACTTATGTAACACCACACAATCAGGGCTCTTTTTACAAGGCTGCAGGCCTGGCTGAAATACTCGGGCATCAATAGATGTTGCCTGTCAGATTAGAGTAGCCACCAGACAGTCACTTGATGGAGTTTAGGCATTCAGGAAAAAAAATTTGAATTTTTGAAGAATTTTGAAAACCGAAGATGTTGAAAATTGCCCAGTTTTAGACACTGCATTTCCAAAGGCATTTGGCAGCAAGTGGTTAAAACATATGTTCCATTCTGAGGTGTGTTTTGACACTCATAACCAAGAACTGGTTTAGTCGTTTCTTGTCTGTAAATTTTGTACAGCCCCCCCTCCGCTAAAAGGAGAATCATTTTCATCCGCTATGGGCTTTGGCATGCTCCATAAGCTGTGTTCCACTTGATGACCACTCACTCTGAGCAAAATTCTTGAAGTGCTGAGTTACCTAAGATATACATTAACCTACCATTTTGTTGGAATCAGGCAGGCTGCTGGCCTTATTAAGGCCCCCATCTTTACGATATTCTGCGGATGCAAATGACAAGTTTTAGGCTCTGGTCAACTGTGCAACAAGAACGGGAATCCATTTCATTGGGAAAAGATTTAGTGAAGTGTTCACACAATATTTAAACACTCAGTAGCGCAAATGACGTATTGAGTTCGATGGTCAATGCAATAGCTATTTGCTCATCAAAGACAAATCTTGCATTTCAGCTTCTGGGAGTAGGATAAAATGATACAATACGTGTACACTGTACCTAAGATTTTGTTCTGATAATTCAATAATGGGATTGACATTACTCTGTTCATGAAAAAGACAAGTGGAGGGAAGATGGCACATTCACATGATTCAGCTAAATACTGGGTACTGCGCTCCTTGCTTTGACGCTGACACTTGCATGGATGGTATTGAATCAGCATGATAAACCCTTGAACATTTCATTTCTAAAATTGTCTGTGTAAGCTCAGCCTTGGGTTCAAACAGATTATTGCATTGGTTGCAATAAGGTTCACAAGAAACTGAAGAAAATACTGAAGACCCAGAGATCTGGGGAAACAGAGGTCTCTCTCAGAGGACACCAACTTCAGAGGAAAATTACAACTGCATACTCGGCACTATCAGTTGTGTGCAGGAATGACATACACAGTGTGGACCTCTGCACAAAAGAAGTCCACATAATGTAGGTGTGATGGCGTTGTGTGGACTTGTGCACGTCCACACAATGTTTCCCATCTCTGAAAAACAGTTTCAGAGGCATATTGGGGTCAAGTGTTATCTGTGGCAAAATGAAGAGGAACAGTCCAGGAGATCATCAACACAAATCCAGCTCGAAAGAATTATCCTAGTTGGAGAAAAAGGAGCATTTTCCTCAAGTTTGCTTCACCGCAGGAGAACAAAGGAATGTCTACACTTCGTATTTAAAACAGGCATGTTGTGTGCACACAGTATGCAAATGATCTACACACGCGCAAGTGTACTTGAGCCACATATCTTCGAAATAAGGTGCGTATTTTCGGCTGGTAACACTTCACACCCACCCTCCTCCTTGCTGGATTTCTTCACCGGCTGGATGTACTTGGAGAGTTGCTTGCGCTTCTCAGCGTATGCCTGCTGATCGTACCCTTGGCTACCAGCTTGGGCTTTGCCAGGGCTTGGCACGGGGCCAACTGAACCGACGGAGCCTGGACCCGCAGAGCCTGGGTTACCTGAAGTAGGAATGGATTTCGCTCGGTCAGCTATGAAGAATAACTGGTTCACTACACAACTAGTCTTAAATAGCAGGAAAGTTTCCGATATATCTGTGCTACCATGTTCAAGTAACACAGAAGTTGTAATACAGTCAACAAATCTCAATGAGGCGAGTCTCAGGACACTTTGAGTTTCAAAGTGTTTCTTTACTTTTTGAAGGGACATAAAAATTTCCGATATATCTGTGCTACCATGTTCAAGTCACACAGAAATTGTGATACAGTCAACCATAAAGCATTCTAACGAATCTCGATGAGGCGAGTCTCAGGACCATTTGAGTTTCAAAGTTTTTCTTTACTTTTTGAAGGGATATAATACCTCCAGGCACCATACACAGACGAGAAAATATGCACAAATTTTGGCCATAAACTGCAACTGTGGAAATAGGGCAATGCAGCAGCAATGTCACAACAAACCCAACTGATCTGCCCATAACCACTGCTGTTAAGCAAAACACCGCATACAAAGTGCGCCAGCTACATTTTATCAGATAATGTGATATGCATACCAAGCTAGTAAGTGATCCTCAAGTCAATAAACGAGTTGAGGAGAACATTTTTCCTTGGATAAACAAATTGTGCAGGGAATTAGAAAACTTCAAAAATTGACCTTTTCCTACAGGACAAAAACTGGAAAAAAAAGTAACCGCCCAGTTCTTGCTAAGTGATAGCCTATCTGTGATCATCATCAGCAATCGTGCTGACTGGCCCCCGGCTAATGATCCATACCTGGTGTGTTCAGGGGACCACTTGGCGAAGGGACGCTGGGGGGACCGCGCTGAGAGCCAGCGGGGGATGCTTGCTGTGGCGACGGAGACGGCTGGAGATAACTAGCGGGAGATGGCATAGGCTGAGAACTGCCACGATAGACACAAATTGTAAAAAGTGTTCACAATGGTAATGAGGTACAGGCTTTCCAACTCGGTGGTTTTACAGTCACTTCAACCATTTGGCGCTTCGCCCATGTACCACTTCACCCATGCACCACTTTGCCCATTTGCCCCCAAGCACCTGTGTACAAGCTCCAAAGGCCATTCTACTACATAGGCATCATGCCCTACTCCAAAACTTTCCTGATATCCAACAATCCTAAAACACCAAAGATCACTATACCACTGGGATCCTACGAACTTTTGTCGGTTTCCCAAATTCAACCCCATCCATCTGGACAAAACGGAACTTGACCCCAGACAAAAGGACTCCCATCCATACAAACGGATACAGTTATGCTAGTCTATAACAGAAAATGATTCAAAGTTGCAAACTTTTATTAAGATTGATGGAATTGACGGCTTGCAGGGGCAAGTTGTATGATGAGTTATCCTGACCCCCTTCATTTTTACAACAGGCCTCAACCTGCCAATGTAAATCGTGTGCAGGTACTCAGGAGATCTTAAGACTAATGTGCAATGAAACTCACCCCTGGCTGGGAGGCTGGGAGGCTGGTGATGGCTGCTGCGTCATAGACTGCAAATAAACAAAACGCATTACAAAAAACATCACAAAAACCTCGAAGTTTTTTGAGTAACTTGCACCTTCCATCCTCCTCAGAGCTGGCACGCGATTTCGTGTGCACAACTGACAGAATGACATGACTAAACAGGTCATACATGTAGTCTGCAAACTTTACAGCCAAATATCAAACCTTAACTTAGTTTCAAGAACTGTACGCACCGTGATACCATGTACCAAACTGCAACGTTACTTCATATTGGCATGACGTCTATCGAAAATGGGGGACTCATGAGGGAAATAGATCTCCTAATGCAAATATATAACACAGCACACTTGAAGAAATTTTGGAAAATATACTGAGGGAACTGCTGCTATTTGGTAAGTGTAAAAAGAGAAAACAAAATTTCAAGTGAAAACATTTTGAAAACTAAACATCAGCAAACACTGACACGCATGCACCAGGATAACCATCGTTCTGGAATTACAGTATTCCACAAGCATACATGCACGTTTACTATTTAAGCACTGCACAAGAACCACACACGTGGTGAACATGTACATGTATTATAACATCAAAAGCAAACTTTCCTGTTGTGAATGAATACGTTAATAGAACAAAATGGCTGGATAGTTACTTCCACTTCAGTATCTATGCCAAGCAGGTTTGTATAGCTCTCTGGCAAATGATTGTTTCCTACGAGCTTTTCTTATGTTGCCTGCTTTTTGCGAAAGTGGCCAAAATTTGTAGATATAGTTGGTGTTAGATTTTGCCTCCATATGTGCACTTTCCCGATCACTTTTGAAGATGGCCATAATGTTATTCGGTACAAAGTATTTTGTAGAATATATTTTTGTTTAGCTGTGCATGCTTTTCAACATTACATAGATTATCAACATTACATAGATTATTATATTTGTGCTGTTCTAATGGCCAGCCATAGTTTACAAGTGAACTGATACCCAAATGTGACTGTGACACAGAGAGGTCCATACTTGTACCAACCACTGCATATTTGACAAGGAGCAAACAATATTAATTACACTGTTGCTAGGAAGAATGTCACCAACCACCTAAGCCACCGACAATTAGTACCCAAGGAAAGACAGAATGGAAGACAGGTGCACTCAGCGCCAGGATGCAGGATAGCTTGTTTGATGTTACTCGGTTTTTCAGAGTGGTTTGATCTTGAACTGAAAATTGACTTGTCCATCCTGTGCTTTCAGAAGGCACTGCACACATGTATATTGGATAAACAGGTACAGCTTCATGTATTAAACACTGTGCACGCACACCTGAGGGCAGTTTGGCTCCTTCACAAAAACTTAGCGAGGGCACTTGACATGGTAGACGGAAAAGAAGGACATGTAAAACGACGTAGGTCATATGCATATCCTAACTATTTATGCTTTATTCTATCAAAAACACCACACTCACATTGATGAGACATGACATAGGATGTTGAAAATAGAACCACAGACGAATTGATAGAAAAAGTATAAATATCGTTCTACGTGTCCTCCTTTTACGGTCTGCTTTGGCACTGGCACAGCATGCTAACACGTCAAAGCCATGTCAAAGCCATGTCAAAGCCACATCAAAGCCACGTCAAAGCCAAGTAAAGCGTATTAATAAAAATTTGGCAGTAAACATCAACAAGACCTTACATAATATGTACAAAATCTGATAGTATACAGTACATCTTCTGCCAATGTTCCCAAAGCGGAAATGGACAACCACAGGCATCACTGTCTCAGGGACATAAAACATAAACTGAACATGGCTTCCTGCATCCCAGTCTGCCATATGCAGTAACCTTTGCTTTTTACAACAGGGTGCAGTTGCGCATATAATCGGCAGTCAAAATTTCTGCCACTGTTGCAAATTATCATAACAAATCCAGAACTTCACAGTGAAAATGACTTTGCAAGTGACAGTAAAAGCAGAAATTAAATGAAAAGATCTTTTACCAATGTGCAAAGATTACAAATAATTTCATGCCCAAAAAAGCAGGTAAATTTAAAAAAATAAAACTTTGAGGGGAAATGCTTCCTTCTGTCCTATAAACACCACAAAGACAAAGAGACTGCCTCACAATACACACTAAAATGAAAGATAAGACTTTCAAGAATGTTGCATTTCTTTTAAGAGTGGCTGAATAAATATTTTTCATTTTTGTGAGGAGAGGAGGGGTTAGCTTTACAATGGAAAAGAACATCAAAAACCAGACAGAGAATGAGCTTAACTTGATACCACATGACACAACACAGTTCGGAACGTTGAGAAAAAGCCCTTTTCCCCTAGATTTGTTCCACACTCAAAACCAACGGGAGGATTACCGACCTGTGGTGACATCAGGAAGTGCTGGCCACCATAAGGTGACGAGGGTGGCCCCTTGGGTCAGTAAGCAGCAATGGAAGGAATTTGAAGCAAGGTGAGAACAAAGGGTTAAGATGTTAGAAAGCACTGCAAACATTACATAAACATTATGACCGGATTTTAAGATATTTGCTGTTTGGCAATGCTCCTGAATCAACCTGTGGTTATTATAAACTGACCATTTTTTATATAGACCACTCTCATTTTGCCTACAACTTGTATGGGTGGCTAAAGTTTGCAGAAATGTCACCTTCTGATTGGTTTTTGATTTTACCTCCACATCATTTAAAATGGACATTTGTCTCAGTCACTTTAACTGGGGTTGTATTTTCATGTAGTATTTAGTAGTGCTTGCCATACATGTGTTATCTGGTGTTCTGATAGCTGTGTGGGATTTTTGAACACTGTGAATCATTCTTTTACTTTTTACCGTTGGCCAACCATAGTTTGGCAAAACGCGATTGTGACGTCAAAAGAGCAGACCCTATACAATTTTTGTCTTCCCTCTTTTATCAAACCCTGTCAGAATCGAGCATTGTGAGAAACAAGTGGCTCGTGACATAACGAAAACCTCAGAATCTGGAGTTCAGTGAGATGGATAGCAGGCGATTCTCCAAATGTATCTACTGAACATTTTCTCCCTAATATCCTCTGATAAACATTTCCTTCCCTTCTTTTATAAACAATTTTAAAACGTGAAGCATCTACTCTGTACCGACCTGTGGGGACATCACAAAAGGCTGGCCACCGCCAAATGGGGACATTGGAGGGGCCTGAAATGGAAGAGTCCGTGGAGAGACAGTGTTAGGCGTTAGTATCAGCGGTGGTAAAAGTCATTCAAGTTTGGAGACCAGAGACAATATTGCGTGCAAGAAGAAATCATCAGAGAACAAACAGAATGCGGGATCATTCCCATGTCACAGAATCAAGGACCACAACCACAAGTTTGCCAAGCTACATGTCATCAAAGAGTGTGCAGTAGAAGCCAAAAGGATGCTTCACAAGAAACCAGCAAGAAGTAGAGAATGTTCAGACGGCCGATGATTCACCCCGGCAGAGAAATTCAACATGCATTAGGGATGCACTGAGTGTACAAAGTCTACTAAAGTGTACTCCATGTCACATGAATTGATTATGCTGTTGAATTTCATTTATCATATGTGCAGAATGCGCTGTATGTGACATGGAAATTGACTGTGCTACCTACGGCTATGCACCTGGCCATGGAAATTCAGAACACCACAGGAATTCACTGTGGAGTACCGAAGTGTAACGTCATTTACAACCAGGAAGTGTAGTGCAACCTAATGGAGTATGCGTGCTTGCAGGTTCTTGCGCTAGTGCCTTTTACAAAAATACTTGCACACATGACGCATTCACTTTGGTACTCAATACCATGGGTATTCAAAATTTATCACACAAAGTACACTAACAGTCACTTGCCACACCAGCTGAATTTCCCACACCATGTTGGATGTCAAACCAATAATTGGGAATGCACCATGCCAACAGTGGGTTAATAAAACACAAGCCAGCACACCCACTATTACAGCTACGCTTGTGGAACATCAACAAATTTGCAAATAACTGCTACCTGATTACAAAGGACAAGAACACACTAGGGTAAAAACAAACACTCTGCTGTATACATTCCATTCTGTTAACAAGCACTGTTTTTTTTTTCACCCGGCAAAGCACTTCAATATTGCAAATTTTTTCACTGGAGTGGAAGACAGCAGGGAAACATGACCTGGGGTTTTCTTTATAGGAAAGCATCAAGGCACATGAAGGCTGACGCTACAAAGAGGCCAAAAAGGATGTTAGTTTAGAAGAGATTGTGGCGGCTTGACTACAAGATAAAAATCATGATAAAAAGGTGATTTGTGAGCTTAAACGTGCACATAAATGAGATTTTGTGGAAAGAAGTGACTGAACACCAAAACATGAAAAGAACTGTTCTAGCATACAGTGAAAGTGTCCCAGAACCTTACATTCAACACAAATGACATGTACAAACGTATATGTGCATATGTACAGCAATTCCCAAGAGATTTTAATCATTTCATGAATCTGTTTCCTTATTGAAATTGAAAAAAAGGATCACATCGGATATTTTACTTAATATTTTTGAATGACATTTTACATGTGTTTTAACGGTACATTTCAAAATGGGACACAGATTCCTGAACAACATCTAACACTCAGAACAGCCAATGTAGATTGACACAGACAACAATCTCATAACACTGCATTACTTGGCATAGCATGACAAGGAAAGTGTTCATCCACGAATGTTTCAGGATTGAATTTTGGCATGAATGATAAGGGTCTGGTCTTCCAGTGCTTAGGTCGCATTTCATTTCAAATTGGAATGCAAGGTTTTACAGTGCTATGACCTAACACCATGAAGATGGCGACCATAACGCAGACAGCCTCCACCCTTCTCGTATGAAAAACAAAAACACAGAAACACCATGATGTACGTGTTCTTCCACAATTCAACAAAAAGTGTTTCAATGGTGAAAACCAAGAGCAGCACTAAATAGACGCAGTACAGGTATTGCTCCTACGTACAAATGGCTATGAGCAGATATTTCAATCAATCATACTACAGCATGGCTTTTGCTCTACAGTCTTGTCACAGACTGAGATTTTGATGTCCTCCTGGAAAATAATACAGAAAATGTATCGAGCTTGGAAGGACATGTCTTATGCTTGTTAAGAAAAGTATCAACATGTGGTTCAAAGAATCTCATACTGCACCTACTCCTCCGTAGTTTTGAGGAAGAAAGCAATTCTTTTTTTCTTCATATTCCTTGAAGCTCCACAAGGGACTTCTGAGTTTAATTATCTCCTAAATCCAAGTCAACTGAGCAGCTAAGCCGAGGAAATTATTCTTTGACATATTCAGATGCTGTGTAAAACCAATGGAGAACCAGACACGAGTGTCATGCTGGACATTTTTGGGTGTGGTCCACTGTTGCTTTGCGCATTTTTCTGCACTCAGCAAAGATGCCTGCCTTGTTGACGGCTCCATCAAACAGAGCCTTTAATCTCACCACAGCCATTGATGAGGAGGAGCATACCTGCACCTTTATGTTCTGGGTTACAAACCTGGGGGGACATCATGTAGGGATAGCCACCGTACGGGGAGGCCGGTGGCCGCTGCTGGAAAGACAAAGACAAAGGTGGGATATCTCACAGTTCGCTCAAGTGGACAGATCATGACCAGATATTGCAAGATTCGAGTATTGGCTCAGAAAAGACATGGCTTTCATGATATGCCAGATTTTCTGGGATAGGGTGACTTCTGACTGGTTAAAAAACTCATATCTGCAGATCATTAACTGTTCAGCCATTTTTCTGTTGTCAGGTTCTTTTAAAAGTTTTAACAGTCCAAGGTTTAAGAAAGCATGTATTGCTGCATAGGCTTGGAAGCCAAAACAATATAATGACGATGAGCAAAGAACCTGAGATGTTGGCAAGGTGACTCAGCAAAGGTGGTTCCTCAAACCTGAGAAATACTTTAAAAGCAGGTTACTGCAAGATGGAAGCAACTCTGACTATAACAAAAAAGCAAAACGTCTCCTAAAATCAACAGTAGAGTAAAAGCTTTCTGAACTGCAACCTGGACATGGGGCAATATTTCAGAATGGGGCTGAGCACACAATTTTTAGCCAAATGAAGTTGATCGTGTTTGTAAGCTGTAAGCACAGCAAAGGGCGTTTATGAACTTAGCGAGAAAATTCGCTTTGAGTGAGCAACAACAACTTGGCAAAGTGTGCCAGAGGTTAGTACAACCCGACAATATAAATGTCAGGGTTGGCCGAAGAAATCCGGCCTACGTATAATGACGCCAAGATGAAGCGAAATGCCAAAAAAACAAGCAGCCTTTGCAGGGAAAGGCTTACGGCATCGTTGATTCCATACCTGCTGTTGAGAGCTCTGCTGTTGGCGTTGCTGCTGCATTTGCTGCTGCTGCTGAATCTGCTGCTGCTGGAGCTGTTGCTGCTGCAATTGCTGCTGCTGGAGTTGCTGCTGCTGCAGTTGCTGCTGTTGGATCTGTTGCTGCTGAAGTTGCTGCTGCTGCTGCTGGAATGCCTGTCCAAACGGATCAAGGATACATAAAGCCACACAAAGTAGCTGGGCTGTAAAGGTAACCTGCATCTCCTATACATCTCCTGTGATGTCACGATCGTGCTGGACCTATGATGTGTTGTGATGGTAATGAGGTGCATGGCGTTGTGATGGTAATCTACTTATTCAAGATAAACTGGCAAGCATGCTGCGTTCGCACATGCGCATGCACGTGGTTGAAGCTGCCTATAGGAGTATGTGCGATCACCGTGGCCAAGGAAGTCTACAGGTGGTGGTATTGCTAACATTTAGCGCAATCCAGTCACGTGGGTGAAAAAGGTCTATGGGGCAGCAAGGACATCCAAGAGTTTCGCAACATTGCGGGTAGCAGCCACACTGCGCCGATGAAAACAACTGCAACGACCATGCATGAACACACTAATCAAAGAAAAGATTGTGTATAACCCCATCCTTGGACTGGCTGGTGCGTGCGTACGTCGCCACGGTTGCTGTTTTCACCAGCACGGTACCTGCCATTTTGCGAGCATCCTGGATGCCCAAGCTGCCCCATACATGAAGGTTAAAAAGATTCTCACAATTGGGGGCTGGAAAGAACAGAGAAAGAAATGATCGTGGGGTATAGATTTATAAAAGAGCACAGACTCACAGACTGGGTCTAATGTTTGTGTGCCACAAGAGAAACTGGCCAATCTGCAGTAGAATCTACCCAAAATCCTCTGGCATCTGGAACCTCAAGGAATGTATCTGAACTTCTCCCAATGAGGGCACAGTTATAGAAAGGAAAACTGGTCCAGATAAGAGCAAACCACACTGTGCAAGTGGGCCATGATCTAGCGCTTATAATCATACTGTGTCTAGTACCTTGAACCCTTGCTGTCCCCTGACGTGTTGTGTGCCACCAGATGCCTGCATCTGTTGCAGCTGTTGTTGCATCTGCTGAGACTGCATTTGCTGAACAGAGGAGAACAGAAAAAACCAGTTGGGGTTGAGCTTTCCTGCATTCATATAATTAAACAATAGCACATGCAATGCCCGGAGATACATGTAGTCTTGAAACAAATATCCTGAAACTGGGAGAGACAGGACTGACTGAACTCTTTATTCAAGCACCTCTCAACAGTGACATGATGAGAGGTACCCATATGATATGCATGTGAGTGCCTTTGCAGCTGTACACATTCAAACGAAAATCAGCTTGGTGTGCACTACTGAGCATACATTGAGCATACAACACAGTGGAGCTATCATGATGGGGTCACACAGTGCCTCCTACTGTTCACGTGTACGGTCAATAAATGAGGAAATCATTAGTGTGTACCGCCTTAAATGGTTGCTGTCCACGGATCATCTGGCCCTGCTGTCCAGCCTGCATGGACCCCATCTGTTGACCTATGTTGGCTCCGCCCACCTGTGGAGAATTAATCCCCTGCAGATTCCGACGAAGAGAGTACATGTCAAACAATATAAAACCATGTATGAAAATGTAGGATAAACTGTTAAATAAAAGTTTTCTCACTCGGAAGCTGACTCATTTGACTACGAAAAATGGCCATCTTCGTGAGCGTTGTAGGCATATCACTTGCATGTACCGGTACAAATCACTTTGCAGCCTGAATCAAATTCACTGTCTACATTATCACAACAATTATCTGGTTCGTAAGTGTGACGTCACTTCAGTTTAAACCACGCCCACTGCCACTGCACGTGGGATTACGTGCATTGATCACCGTTTACATGGAACCATGGAACCGGAAGTTAACGCGCACCTTCAGCAATTGTCCAATGAGAGCCTGCAAAACGTGGTGCGTTTGCCTTTGTGACGGAGTCACTTACAAACCGGATAGCAAGGTCAGGGTGCACATGCATGCTGGTATACCAGAATTACAGTGTACTAAGAGGTTCAAAGGTCAATATTTGTCAATGCATTTCTGCAACGCACGGTTAAAATGGAAACACTCTAGAGGGAGTGAATGGAAAAAAATTGACAGTGGAAGTGGTGATAATTTCAGCCTAACCCTATAGGGTGTGTGAAAAATTACACAGGTACACGTATGTTGAAAGCTGATTCTTCAGGAATGTTAGGATTGATTTGACTTTCCTTGTTCTTTCTTCACATATTGACGTAGTTCATGTACAAATTGCACACGGCCAGTGCTACTTCCTGAGCACTGCATACTTAGAATGAGTAGGGAAATATGTGTAATCGGGTGACACAAAGATGGATATACATGTAGGTATGCAAAAAAAGGTACCTAACTTAAACAAACTTTGCAAACTTGGACTTAAGTTTGAAGCCTTTTGCTTGGCAAAGTCAGCATATCTGCTTTCTAAATCCTCGTTTTTTTTTACCCATAATAAGAAGCCTAAGTGCTTTGACAAAACCTTATTTCTCAGTTGTACTAAACTTGCATCCAACAGTGCTTATTATATTTGTCAAACCTGAGGCTTGACAATAAGAGCACCAAGGCGATAAAATTTCGTCTCTCACCTGCTGCGGTCCACTTGCAATGAACCCCGACTGCGGTTGAGGTGAGTTGGCCGAGCCGGATAGCTGTTTCTGCAGCTGCATGGCAATCTGCTTCTGTCGTTGCTGCATCATCATCTGGCTGGCTGCAGCGCCAGAAACAGAACAATGTCATTGGTCATGTTCATTTGGTCTCTCCATCTCATTCTCCGATATGAACCGGCAGCTTTGTGTTTCAGGCTCACTGCCTGTGGCCTGTTCGTCTATGTGTGTGCGTGTCAGCTTGGCACGACCTCTAGGATCACGTAACTTGCCAGCTGCCATCGTGTCTACATGTACTTGTTGAGCATGTTTTAATACCTGCGTTTCTCCCAACTGGTGTAGTGTTATGGCATACTTTTACGTTTATCATCAGGTGACAGTCACTGTGTTTATTTGTTTCCTTTGTGAAGCATGTTGCTATGTCCACCCTGAAGCCACCATTTACTGTTTATAAATGCACCTGCTCATTTATACATCTACAGGTAGTTGTGGTCAAGGTTACGCACACATGGCACAATTGTTTAATTACACCTTTAGAAGACTTCATTCCTCAGAGATTTTTCTTCTCTACAGCTGATCTATCAATCCACCTGCTCCACTTTAGTGCTTGTACAGGTTAATGCAAGCAAAGTGTGATGTTCTAGCTAATCAGCTACGGAGAAATAATGGAGGCAGAGAATTGGTGAAGTCTTGAAATTATAATGACGGGGACTTTAGGTTTAAGTGTATGTAAACTTTTGACCACAACTGAGCTTGTTTTTCATATGTGCAATGTTGTTTTTTTAATACTGGCTTGTTTCTATCATCAGATTGTGTCTGACTGTCTAGCTCTTTGTTAATTTACTGATATGCTTCTATGCCCACCTGTTTTCTTCCTACCTGCTGTGCCCTGTTGCTGTCTGGCCCCCATCATCTGTGACATCTGCTGCTGGCCAGGGGGAGGCGTCCCTTGCTGACCAGGTCGTGACCCGGGCATGGTTATGGACGACAGCCCCTGCAGTGCCGCCATTGGATCTGTCGACACGGCCAAAGTGAAACCCAAATGTGAGCAAATGATTTGCCAAAGGTGACAGGATCTGATGATGTGACCCGTGAGATTTTGTACGATTCGCTGGAGAATCTTCCATTCTTGGGAAATTCGGGAAAACAAGTCCACTCATCACTTGTGCACAAGGCTTATGATGGAGGGCTTGGCATTTCTTACACAGACTGCCAGGTTGAAAAAAATCAGAGTACATTTCTTGTTATACACATATCTGATGACCTTCAAAGCTTTTCATGGTGAAGGTTGTAAGCAGTAGCAAACCTTTTACATATCTGGCTCAAACAATGTTACAAAGTTGCAAAAAATCATGTCTGAGAAGGAATGATTGCAGTGACCACTTAAAGGGTGCATGATGTGAATTTTCCTTGAGACTATACATGTACTCTGTTTACTTTTCTTATGTCAATTTCCAATTTTACGAGTACAATTTTGGCATATTTTGGTGCTGACACAGCTGGAATATTCAGGTTTCTTCCTGAAAACATAATCTTCTTGTTCATGAGCAGGCAAACTATTTAGCACCAAAAAACAGACCCCCGTCAAATGAAAACTTGAAATAGGGTTACACGGGTCATGAGGGAGCATTTACAATGACTGCATACAAAATTACATCACCTGAGCTCTTTCACTGCATGCAAATACATCTGAAAAAGCTCCTATTTCAACTCACTTATCTCAATGCGCTAAATTCTTTGTAATCGCTACAAGAATTTTTATAATTTTTATAATTATTTCTGATAAGACGCCCAAACTGCAGTGGCACCGCACTCACACGCACATTCTTCAGCTTGACGCGCACGTGCATTTAGCAAATCACGACAACCTATTGGTCGAAGAGGCATGTAACATGCGTGTACCACCTGTCCACGAGCCTTGTGCCACCGTAGTAATGGCTTCTAATTCTAGTGGTCGAATTACACTATACCTTGTCCCCCACCTCCAATGTGTTGCATCTTTCCCTGTGCACCTTCCTTCCTGGAATCTGAAAAGCACAATCAAATGCAAAGACAAACGGGATGTCCCAGGCTGCAGGTGGCAATAACTACATGTACATGTACATGCAGTACGGAGTGATGTGCACACTAGTCTGAGCTTTCTTCCTCAGATTACAAATTTCTGAACACATTAACAATGCTTTTTTTCCAAATCCAGATGTACAGATGCGAACACAATTACCGGTGGTTTCAGGGGCTCCACTTCATATGAGGAGGTTAACACCGCTCTTGCATGTCTAGTTATTTAATACTGCCTGCACAATTTCAATGCTTGCATATAATTTCAATTTTAAAGGAATGACAAACAGTGGTAGATGAGCTAGGGGTAGTTGGTATGCAAACCGTCACAAAAATATCCATACATGAACTTACTGATATCTCTCATATGAATCATCAAGCGAGCAACAAGTGCCAGGTACTCCTCCTAAATGAATAAAAAAAATACATGTACATGTGTGCACGTATATCGAATGTTTATGATTATCAGTTTGCTGATTAATATTATTCTTATTGGTTTATTGCTAATTATCTACATACGTATACAATAGAAAATACCTCGGCTCTCGTGCATTAAAATACAATAACTACTAAAATTTAAGAAATACGTATTTATTGTACAGAACAATTTTATCAGTCACTTATTGTTTCTCCAGCTGTACATTCATGGCAAATTCACATGAGGCCTTCTCCAACACAAGCACGCATGGATCCATGGCTGTATCTGCCTCGAGCGGGAACAAGAGGGGGTACGCTTTTATACGGAAAAAGAGGGTCGTTTGGTGGGAACTCGTGTGAGCGTGCAGGTTTATGCGAGTTTGCCAGAGGGCATGCTGAATACGCGTAACCAATTTACATTGCAGATGAAAAGCTTTCCACCAGCCTGTCTCTCCTTTGCCAGTGAGGGCGCACTTCAACTCAGGGTGGATAATACATGCGCAATATATCATTAATGGCTCTAGGGGGTAGGTAACGGGGCCATATGTCCCCCCCACCCACCCACCTGGAACGTTTTTGTTCATCCATGCCACTGTTGGCAGGTACATGCAGTACCATATTAATTACACTCCTGTGAGGTTAACATTCACATACATGTAGGAACATCAACACTGAACACCAACACGGGACAAGACTGTCGGATTCTACTAAAGTTCATACCACAAAGATCCTCCACCTGTACATGTGTACAATTGACGAAGGCTCCATGCATATCCAAGGCAGGAACTTCAAAGAGGCATTGGAGGCCATTGCCTTGATGCCCCTGGCCTTTGCCTCAATGCCCATTGAAATGTCCCCATAGACAAGTCGATTTTCTAATACAATTGCCCATTGCAAATGAGAAACTGCCTTGCTCCTTCAAGAACGAAATGCCTGCCCTGCACATGGGAGACGTGCCCTTTGTGGTATTGTACAAACCAGTAGGCTGTCCTGTGTACGCAGCACATATACATGACCTGTTGTATGGACCAGAACATACGTACCGGGATTGTCAGAAAGATCTTGATCATATGACACAAATGCGAGAGGGAGTGTTAATATAAAAATCACACAGTATCTTCTTCCACAGTGTTCTGCAGAACTGGTTTCATATGTGACACCAATGCAGTGAAACCAGCTATTATTCATAGATACAATGAGAGGAAATCAATATTCCATGTTGCCACTTCCTCATGCAGAGTGGGCTCAGTGTTAAAGGGGCAATGCTGCGCATGTTACAAATGACCAGGTGAATACATGTACATGTCCACTGACTGAAAGATGAACTAATTTTATACTTTTTAAGATTAACAACTTGACATGCACAAAAACAGAGCGAGCTTAATTTACTGTACATAACTCTTACATTTATGTGATGAATTATAATTGATGGATGAGTCATTGTGAAGTATTGCAGTGCACAGAACAGATACAAGTACATCTACATACGCATATGTACGTACAGTAGTGCATGTGTTTGGTACCATATTTTTATGTATGTTTTGCATATTCCCCTTAATTTTTTTCCACGAAATGGCACATTGTTTTGTTTGTAGGAACGTTATCAGTGGAGCGATGTATTGCCTATGGAAAAAACATACATGTACTCAACACTGCTAGAATGTGTAATATCCCTGCTGAAGCATGCATGGTTAGTTTGGTCTACCAATGATTAAATCCTGAAGTAGGAAGGACAATCTACAGGTTAAGTCAAGGAAAAGGCAACCATTATCGCTGTTGTAATGGGTGTCAAATCCATGTTTTCCATTTGCTGAGAAAGCAGGTTGGGAAGGAAAAGATATGTGTTCGGCACTGAGGAATGTGGCCATCTGTGAAAGACTAGTAGTGAAGAAATTCTGTTTCAACGAAGGAACTCATGAGCGACTAGAATATGAGCGTCGAGCTGGACCAAGAGAGGGCACAATTTCCTTAGCAATGGAGGCTCCGTTGGTCAGAACTGATCTTTGCTGGTTAACGAACGACTATGAAAAGCACATCCAGTACGTTATGGTCACATCACTGCCAACAAAAGGAACACTCCCGACCAACATGGCTCTAATTCAACCAATGATGGAGTGCTTCTGCTTGAGGTGGAAACCAGGTAGGTTGAAACTGTTTATAGTACTTAAATGGAGTAATACGATTTGCCTAATCTGGGTTGAGCTGTTTGTTGTTTCTTTAGATCGAAATGAGCAATTTGTTAAATAATGTGGAATTTTCAGCTGACTGAATGGCAGGAACTATACTGTAAGGTCGCAATAGGATTTTCCAGATATCGATGCTGCATGTACATGTACAGTACGGGTGTACAATTTTGCACAAAACGCAAAACAGTAATTAATGAAAGACATGAAAATCTGTGAGCAGTGTCTCACTGTCCATGTATTGTTGGTTCCCTAGTGAACAGGCTTAAATCAGCTTTTACGCAAAATCCCTTTTTTTTTTAGAGAGAATGAGCTGCAGGACACTTCAAAGTCTCCGCAATCCAATCCAAAATTTTCCTGCCCCCCAAAAAATTCCACTCAATGCTTTGCTGGCAAGTGCGATCCGGCAAAACAATCCTATTGTATAGTACATACTTTATAACTACAGTGTGCCTCCTTCATTTTGGTTCAGCTCCAGCTGGAGATGGTACAAGTAGACTTGGTACATTTACCGTACTCACCCTGTTTTTGGCTTTTTGGAACACATGATTCTCCATCTCCCTGCTGGACTTGGCTGTAGGATTACCCGTCTTATGCACTTCATCATCACTGCATTGGCAGGAAAAACATACCAAATGCATTCAATACGTAAGGAACTCAGAAATTTTAAAATCAAAAACCAAACAAACTACTAAAGTACATGTAACAAACAATCCTCCGCCCTCTCCCCCAAAAATTCATCCTACAGGAATAGCATTAGCAATTGAGGCTCAAACTGCAAATGAGTTAATATATCCCTGTTATCTGGACCTACATGTATAATGTCCAGCTTTACGAGTAACAAAAAGCAGGTATTAGCAACCGACTAGTAAAGTACTGCTCTATTTTGTTAAATGTGTATGTTTAATCCAGAAAGGCTCCTCATCAATCAACACCCAGTCCTCTTTCTGCAAAGACAGACCTGCTGATTTTCACACTGGTTCATACATGTATACAACTGCAGCCTGTCCAGACGTGTCCCTAAATACCACCCTGCCATTGTAGGGTATCAGTTGGCCAGCTTTTCAGGTGAGTCAAACACAGTTTCTGTGTCACGGTTTTTCATATTCAAAGTACATGTACATATATGCGAATAGGAGGCCAGCACAATAATGGCTCCTATCATGTTTAATGCTGCTCGCTGAATTACAGGTAGTCTAGGGAGTATTCCACTGAGCAGATTTTGAAGTCATTACTGTAGTGGCATAACACTTGTTAACATGCCGTACATGTGCATTACATGCCTCTTTAACCGATCGGGTATCGTGATTTGCCAATGCATACACATGTACATGTACATGTGTGCATCAAGCTTGAGAACGTGACAGCAGTGCCACTGCAGTTCTGGTGTCTTCTAGTTCTCCGGATTAATCGGTAACATACGGCACCTCCCACAGGTGCCGGTGTCTCCTCCAAATATCAAGTCGGAACTCCTTATTGGCCCAATGAAAGGAAATACATGTACATTGTGCATGTACACCTGTTCAGCTGGGCGGTTCCCTGGTCTACTGGTATATTATGCCTACATGTAGTTGACTGAAAGGCAATGATGCCTGGGTAAGGCTGGGTTGACCTTGATTGTGCTGGGGTAGGCTTGGGGTTGTCCAAAAAAATTTCTGATCAGTGGTAAACCGTCAATGGCCTTGCACATGTGTTTTTTGCCCAGCCAATAACTGGCTCAAATAAGACAGTCAAATACATACATGTACATGTATCCACTACCAAGAAAAAAGGAAAAACGATTACTACTACATGTAGATAGAATCAAAGTGACCCCAGGGTTCAGCAACACCATCATGAGGACAATGCAAACACTTCAAATGCATACATTGTAGATCTACAAATCAAAATGCTGAATTTTCAAATATCAAAATCTAACGTGTGTTTCTCATGCATTCTCATTACTCTACAGGTACGTGTCCTGCTGACACAAAGCCACTGACTCTCTAATACTTTCTGCTGAATACGAAGCTGGGGAGATATGAACTTAACGCAGTTAGTATTGGACCATGAACCAGTCCTGATAATGTTTCTGCTTTTGTATGGGCACAGCAACTGATTGTACGTGTACATGTCCAGTCCTTTCCAATACATGTGGGTCCATGTAGAGCTGTTCATAGAGAGATTTTGTGACATGAATGTCTCAACTGCACACGTCATACACAGCCATTTTGGCTGTTACTCTCTCCACACAGCTCTGGCCTAGGTCCAATACTGTGACAAATGGGCATATGTGGTTCCATGCTGACATTACTTTTGTGAAATCAGATGGAATTCAGGCCTTGTGCACTTTTCTGACTCTAGGCTATTTGTCTTGAAAAGAAAATATTCCAAGGCCACATATCATGAAAAGAATGTAAAATATTCTGCAATATAATGTAAACTGTAAAATTCAATTTAACACAATAAAAGGATGACTTCGTGAGTTTTGTGGGATAGGAAAAAATCTCAAATTGACCCAGGATTCCAACTCAAGTCTTCATGTTCTGATAGGGGCAGACACTGTAGGCCTGAACTGCTCAGCCATGCATGAAGCGGTCACTTGTTTATGGATTGTCTATTTAACACAATTTTATGGTGTTGATTCAGTACAGAAAAAAGATGCTTGGCAACACTTCCTTGTCCTTGGGACTTACGACAGGGCACAAAATTAGGGGACTACACATGCCAGACCGTCTCGTACATGATTTTTCTGAACTGAGCTGAGTTCAGCATGTTTAGCTGTTTAGGCCTACTCACATTTGTGCGACCACTTTTGACCTGAATGCCTCCGTTTTCCACTCATCTTCGTTCCCAGGGTACACAGTACCCATTCCAGGTGTAGGTATCATATTTGTCATCGTCACTTTAGGTACACAAAGTGTCTCTTTTAAGTTTCAGAGTGAAAATTAGTGAAAATGAATACAACGACCTAATGCCTGCACGAGTTTCTATGACACAACAGACAAGCACACAAACATCATGCGAGAAATTGAGTAGTCTGGTCCGCAAACAGACCTCACGAACGATTTGCGAGGATTGGAGACAAGGTTTCATTCCTTACTCGCTTTGTGAAAGGAATTACGACTGAATCAGCGTCTAAGTGTGCATGGACGGTGATAACGATATGAATTGAAATGAATCGAATCATGGAGGAGTTCCTTCCTCCATGATCGAATCGAGTCGAATCAAACCAAATCGAATTTTGGATTGGATTGGAAACAAAGCGAAAAAGAAAACTTAAAATACTGCAGGAAAACAGTTATTCTGCGACAATGAATGTGTTATACAGATCAAAACTGGACCCCCATAAACCAGTGTTGATTCGAGTCGCTGACTCGAACTGAATCGGACTCGAGTCGCCATTTTCAAACTCGAGACTTGACTTGACTTGACTTGGGAAAAAATGACTTGAGACGTGACCTGACTTGCTAAAATTTGACTTGGGACTTGACTTGCTAAAATTTGACTTGGGACTTGACTTGGAAAAATGACTTGGTTACAACTCTTGACATAAACGCAAAAAAGAGCAGGTGTGATAAGGATGGACTCGCATAACTCCAGTGAAGTATATAAGGGGGTCAGATTGGGGATTATATCGTTAAAGGATTAAAGGAAGCATATGAGTGTCACGAAGAAGGTAGGAGTAACTGAAAAACCATCAACAGAGGGTGTTGGAACCTGAGAAGGTACATGTACTTTGTAAAGCAACCTCGTGATTTTCCTCCCTGTCTTACCTCATATCTTGCCCGTTCCCTCCCGAGACATTCACGAAAGAGGGTCGGGTAGTGCTATTTCTAAAGTGTTCACCTCAATGACTTTTTAATTCCTCAAAAATCACTACATGTCGCCGAGTGGACTTATTGGAATTGTTGAACACTGAATTCTAAATTCTCAAGTACTGAAAGACTCTCTTTTGAGCGAAACTAAGGATAACCACACTCCAGGAATTTTTCCAGGGCGAGGGTCACGGAGGTTTTAATACTGTCTCATATTTGCGGACAAGCGGAAACAACAGCGAAACATTATACATGGCATATATTGTTTATAAGGGTGCACCTACTTTATAATTTTTTAAAATTATTATTTTCCCCATTTTTTCCCTTTTTTGCTCAAAGCGTGGGGTTCGACCCGATCCCCCCCCATCACCTAGGCGACTAATTCAGTGTCTACACTCGCCTATTCCACGGTTTGTTCTTATAACAATTAAAGGTTTAGGCTGAATTGCTTGATATACATTAAATATAAAGAAGATTAACGACCTGTGTGTAATTTTTTTTCAAAGTTTACCTCCGTGAAGGGTCATTGAACATGACAAGTTAGGCACTGCTGATAAGACCATCAATTTAACCATGGAGGAAGGGTTTAACCCTGCGCCGGGCCGCTAGATGTAAAGATTTCTATACACGTAGCTCAATCAGCAGGCTTCCAGGATCCAGGCACAGGTATTTTGTTCCTTTGTATAGGTTCAAAGAAAAGAATTCAGAATGTTGAATACGATTTCGCTGAACGGAATTTAATTCTTCTTTCAAAAATTCTTGGATTCCAGGGTAAGTACACGTCTTTCACAGTATGGTTACGCAGCGCAGCAGATCTATAGTTAACTGTACCGTTACGCCATGTGGTATCTAAACTCGGCGCAGGGTATTGAACATACGCCTGTGTATAACCTTTAGGTGAATTATGTTATTTTTATACATGTAAAAACGATGAAGTTGCCTGTGCTTGAAGTGTGCCAAATAATTCTTTGTGCAGATATCTACACGGTCTTCTCTGCGCAGGGGGTACGTAACTGACGTCGTTTTAAGAAAATTCCAAAAAAACAATACTTTGTTTCGAATTTATTTATTTTTGCAGTAAAATAACTGTCCTGGGTGTGAGCTTCAGACTAAAGGATGCAAATGAGGAATGTTAGATATCGAGTCGGAGTGGTGTTTCATTTTTTGGATCACTCACCAGCGTACTACGCATCCAGGTTACGAGTCCGGGTACGACTTAATTGACATGACGATTTTCTGAAACTGTCCATTTTATTCTTAAAAGAATCATCAAAGGGACGGTGCTATTACCAGTTCTAATTTATAGTGTTTGGGCTTTCAATTTCTTTTAAAAAAGAAAGGAAAATAAAGGAAGCGACATGCCCTTCTTGCATGGAGGAGTGATGTTCCACCGTTGGATACGCCAAAAATGTCACAAATGTTCACCGCTGTTGACAAGGAAAATCATTGCTAAAACCAAATCCATAACTCGAACTAGCTTATCTTATTAGTAATCTATGGTACAGTGTATTACGTGCGTAACACTAGTTTCTCCTGACCACAAAAAATCTACATTCGGGAGCGAAGTAATGACTTAAGGCATATAGTGACCGATGGCCGTAAAATATGCCGGCAAATTTTTTGTCCACCCACAGAAAGAGTTATCTAAGGAATTACACAATCGTTATTTCAGCCAAGATCATCGTCTAGAAACAAGAGGTAAGTAAAAGTTCAATGAAAGTCTGAAATAGATAAAGACATCAAAATCTTGGTGTTTTTCCCATGGTGGGAAAACCTGATTGATGAAAAAGGACCTAAATGTTAATGTTCTGTGAACTAAAACCAGAATAACAAAGTATAACGAACATTCATTAATTTTATGAATCAAAAACCTTATAGGAAAAAGTATAGAAGTCACCCAGTCTTGACTACAGGTACAGAAGTTTATCATTACGTTCTTTTTAATATATAATTGTGTCAACGACGTTTGACTATCTGTTATTTTATTGTACATTTAGAACCGTGTACATTGCCTTGTTTTCGAGGTCGTTTGTTTTTGGCAACCTGCAAATGCATTTGTAGACGATACTGGAGGGGAATATATTGCCAAGGTAATCAGCTATAGGCCTACTAGGATTTATTGACACAGTAAGACACTATTATACAGATAATAAAAGCCCTTCTTATTTTACAGTTTTTTGCAATGAACTTGTCAAGAATTTCAGATCTTGGCGATCAGACGGAGTCTGACGTATGATCAGACGGAGTTTCTGACTTTAAAATTCTCAGCAATGTGCGAGCATTGCAACGACTGTGGATCGGGGTGAACTGGGGCTATACATGGATAGGAGTCTGTATTTACCAGGAAACCGGTGTATTACCCGCCAGTACGGCCTGTTTTCGTGTCGTTTGTGTGGTGTGCGTTTCACTCACTGGTCGTTTTAAATTTTCAAGACTGAATGTCAACGACACGCGCGGCACTTTTTTCCACTGGGATTTTTATGGAAAGCACCATCATTTGGCAATTTTAATTTATTCCTGAAATCAGTCCCTCTATACTGTTTTTAAAACGTTTCTTGTGTTTTCTCTGTCTTGTGCTTTCTAGTTGGTGTTTTTAAATTGTTTTAACCTTGTTTGGGAATTTTGTAGGCTTTACTTTCTGTATAATTCACATTATACTTTAATTGTACTTTTCAAAAATATAATTGTTTGTTGTACTTTTTATATAAAAATCCCCTTGAATGTTTTGGCATTAGGCAATTAATTTACGTGTCTAGATGCTTACATTGGGCCCTAATGGGAACACTTCATGGTAAATAGGTTTCCTGGATAAATACAAATAATAATATGCATGGCGCATAAACAGGTGGACTGGAATAGACTCCGTTTCAGTCGTGAAGCCTGCCTGTAGGAATTTGTAAAATATCCAAAATCCATATTAAGTATCTACATTGCATTAGTTTTTGTAGTATTTCTAAGAAACTTCAAACCACCATTCCTTTGGGGTTTAACTGTCCTGGAAATATAAAAAGTGTAAATTGCCCACGGTGTTTTGATGACTCATTCTCAGAACGTATTTGTAAACCTTGGCAAAGAGGATGTACTTCCAAAACACAATGCGTCAACAAACTGAAATTTTGTGACAGAGTAAAAGACTGCTACGACGGTTCAGATGAAGACAATTGCAGTGAGTATGACATTTTTTGGTTCTGTCTCTGTATTAAATTATTTCAATGTAAAAGATAAATCTGTGTTTTTTGCCTTGGTGGCATTTTATTCATATTCCAAAATTTCCTGCAATACAAAATGCAATGCCACTTTTCGACACTTTTAACACAGGCTGCACTAGCAAGGTCTGTGATCATGGAGGTCGGTTGGACAAAGTGACCTGCACATGCTCTTGTACATCAGACTGGACAGGGGAGCACTGTAGAAGTAGGTACAAGTCTAGTCTTGGCCCAAGACTGAAATTGCATTGTTTTGGCTCTGGTGCACCTTACCATGCTAGAAGTTAAACATGCACTGACCAGCACAGCTTGATAGCGGGGCACCAATCCCAAAGTGACAAACAGTACTGAAATGGATTATCAGAACAGTTTGTTTCCTATGGATTGACGCCCTCTACTGTTACTGCTACTTGGCACTGCTTACCAGGTGCATGCTGCCCACATGATGCATGAAGACAAAAACGATGCAAATCCAGTTTGGGGTCAAGACTAGCACCTATCAAGCTGGATAAGGGGTGGGAGAGGAATGACGGGTGCTGTTTAAGGGACATACGATATATATGAATTGAGGGGTGTGTCCAGAACTGCTGCTGTAATGAAAGCATTTCAGGGTAACATCACGGGGTTAACCCTAAAAGAGCCGGGGGGGGGGGAGAATGATTCCCCCCAACATTTTTCAAATATCTTCAATGTGTAGTTTATTCACAAGCAAGCCTTGAGGAGTTTTCTCAACAACACATTGCAGTCATTTAGGAAAACTGGAGTTCTTGTGCACCGTGCATTTCTCTGAGACAGGTCAGCAAGAAAGTCATGCTTGTTTCCATCGTGTGCTCCATGCATGCATGGAGGAAGGAACACGCGAGTCAACATGTTGATCATTAACTTCAAATGGCATAATACATCAAAACCCTATGTCACTCTGAATTCAACACTTGTACTGATGAGTGTCTTTACATGTATGCTAAGTTTCAAAATGACTGGCATGTGACAGCTGAGTTCTTGGGGGAGGGGTAAATCTGACCCTCCCCCAGCTGTGAAATGCTCAAAAATTTCGCGCATTACGAGGTTACAAGCGCCAAAGTCGTTAATTACGATGGGGGGGGGGAAAGGTATTTTTAAGCTGCACTAAAAGTTAAGTGAACTATCTTGGTTCATGAACAACTGCACCAGCTTGGAAGCATACATGTAATATCATGCTCAAGTTGTATAAAAAATGGGATATGAAAGCTAAAAAGAGAAAAGGAAAAAACACCAGAAGTTTTGTATTCTGTTTTTTTTAAATTTTTTTTTTACTTTTTTTGCACTGAAGCCCCAAGTCCATCAGCTGATTGTGGCATGCGGCAAGTGGATAAAAGCCGTATCATTGGAGGTCACACTGCCGACATTGAGCACTACCCTTGGCAAGTCCAGCTCAGGTACCAATCGGCTAGATCTACCTGGTACTTTGTCTGCGGAGGCACGCTCATCTCCCCTCAGCACGTCGTCACTGCTGCTCACTGTGTGTAAGGTGATTTCTGATTTCTTGATGACACCCAGGGGAACTTCAGTAAAGAAACTGGGATTCTTGCATTGAGAGAGGCGTAATAACAGGGTTAGGATAGTTCAACCCTTTAGTGCAGAATGTTCCAATCTGCTTGTCAGAGCAAATAACCTTTCACAAATGCCTTCATGAATCCCAGTTCAAACACCATAATGTTTTTCCCTTCTGATTTAGTGTGGACAAATTACCCACCCGTTGGAGAGTCTATTTGGGTCGGAAAAAACGGCAGAAAGGAGGGGAAAAAATAAGAGACGTCACAAAAGTCTTTGTCCATGAGCAGTACGATGTACTCAAAGATACCAATGACATAGCACTGATGGTGCTGAACATTCCAGTGTCGTTCACTGGGCGCATTCAGATGGCCTGTCTCCCCTGGCAACCAGTGCAGCAGTTCAGCAGCGACTCGGCTTGCTTCATCAGTGGGTGGGGATCAATTGGTAAGTGTTGGTTTTGTTTCTGGGAGCAGGATGAATGGTAGGAGTGCCAGCTGTTTATTATTGATTGTTGGTACGGTGGTGTCATTCCAGATCTCCCATAAATCTACTCGCGAGGTTTGGGAAGATATTGCAAGACTGAGTGAAGCCACAGCTGAGTTGTTATATAACCTTTGATGGGTCTTGATAATCCCTTGAAAGACTATAAGCATAAGGAATATGCCATTAGTTTCCAGCAGAGGGGTGGATTTGGAAGGAGTCAAGAAGAATGAACATGAAAACGTACTTTAGGAAGTTAGACAGAAATAATTAAAATTGCCAAGTGATCCGGATCTCTCAGCTGTACATCATGGGCTGGTAAGCCTTGATGGATGACTAGTTAATCGTGGTCTACTGTGCATAAACTTGACGGTTTATCATCACCAGCTCGCCGGCTGGCCCTTGGTTGACCGATTAACACACTGTTCGGCTTCTTGCAGGCTAGTCCGTTTTCTGGCAGGTCGAATATCGACATGGTACATATAGATTAACAGACATTTGGACGGTTGTCGCTGGCTACTACACATGTATCTGGCTGCTTGTCTGGCTGCTTGTTCAGCACACACATATGCAAGCAGGATGGCTGACCAAAAGGTTATCTGGCCATAGTTAGTTGAATATGCGACAGACGAATAATGAACATGACAGAATGGCCTGTCAGCTTGTAAGCTGGATATCTGATGGTCCTGTCTAGACAGTTTACAGCAATACCTGGCTGTCATTTGTTGAGGGCAGAGCCCTTGACAGTAAAAAAAAAAAACTGTTATTAATGAATGCTAATTTGTTCCAACTTGCAGCATATGGAGGTATTTTGCCTTACAATCTTCAAGCCGCTCAAGTTGTGCTTATTCCTCAGAGCCAGTGTGCTGACATAATTGATCTGACGGACTCCATGATCTGCGCATCTGAGTCACTGAATCTACTCGGACAAGTTGATGCCTGTCAGGTGTGTATCTTTGGGTGCTTGAACATGCAGATGTGAGCCTGATTAAGGGCGCCTCGTGAAAATGCTGAGGGAGACACTTGACAGTGACAAACCAGTGCTTATTTCAGACAAGAGACACATGCAAATGCACACTATAGTACAGCAGTGATTTCAGACTAAGTCCTGCCCTATTTCCATGGGGCTATCCCCAGCATGGTAAAGCTGACAATTTTTAACAGAATGTGCACAAAAACTACAGCGTATCTGACACAGCCGCATGCTGCCACTGTAATCATGGAACAGATGCTGAACTGTTGATGGACAGTACACGATTTTCGATTAGCCTCGCTTCCTCACTGCATGTTTTCCCTCCCTCCTAGGGTTCAAGGACCTCATGTCAAAGTCATGACCCAATCACCTGTTCTTGTTACTCATGTCCAGGGCGATTCTGGAGGTCCCCTGTCCTGTGCAGCTGTCGACACCCAGGGCTACCTCAGATGGTATGTGGTGGGGATAACAAGCTATGGCTTTGGATGTGGTACGCCTGGATTGCCCGGGGTGTACACAAAGGTGTCAGAGTTCACTGTCTGGCTCGAGGAGAAAATGAATTCCTAGATTTAAACTCATGTTTAATCATTGATCCTTTGTAACAAGGAAACAAATCCACCCAGTTGAAATAATTCTATCTGAAATGTAAAGACATGGAAATAAAGAAAACAATGCAGTAGTGATGGCCCAATTATTATAACTTGAAAATTTCCTTGTACTTACCTGGTGTTTATGGTACATGTACAAAATTTCCCCCCTTATTTTAAGACCTGCAAGAAAGATACATCATGTTGGGATATACTAAGGGATATGATGAAGAATGTCAGTCATTTTTGTCAGTTCCATGGATAAATAATATTGCAATAGGAATACATACGGTACATTCACTTTGAGGTCTTTAACAACTTAAAAAGGCCTCTTTATTTTCATGTATTTGTTCACTATTCACAACTGTAGCTTAAAAAGTGACAGGTCACTAAACCAACACGGAAATCACTTGAAGATTCATAGCCAAAGTTTTAAGTGAATCAACTCTGTCTTGGAGACAAGGCCATACAAACTAGTACATGTACTTAGAACACCGTTATACAAAAAGCCTTATCTTACATGCTGTCATGGGAAAACTATAATTTCAAGTAACTTGAAACTTTGCCAGGTGACAAATTCAGTCTAGACTTTGATTCAGTGCCGAATTCAAGTACAGCCGTGTGTAACAATGACAATAACTGGAGGTATTGTAACTAGCACCATCTGAGTTAAGTCAACTTTCAAGTATTTTGTTCTTAATAGTAAAAATTTGCCCTCTCTTCCCGACAGATCCTCAAACCTATCCATTCTCGTTAATAACTGCCAAAAATATCTGTGGATATGGGTTACTGTAAAACACGAACACCAACCTGCTGCAATAAATACAGCACACTGCACTGCATCAAAACACTAGAGCCTAGTAGGTATTGTACACTTAAATCACATTGCTCAAAAAAAAGTACATACGGTATTTACATCTTTGGAATGAAGTTTTGAATTTGATAAGTAGTTCAAAAACTGATCAACTCCAGAATAGTGGATAAAATTAATTAACATCTCCCTGGAGCAAATCCATTCTTGAAAATAAGTTGTTTGCAGTACCCGCTGCTACATCTGACTCGAACCAGCCAGCCGACACCGGCAAGCTCAGTGGTCGAGTGGTTAAGACGTCTGCACTAGTAAGCAGGATGTCCTGGGTTCGAGTTCCACCAGAGTACGCTTGTGGGTTTTTTCAGTGTTCTAATACACGTTGGGCAGGGCAAAAATCCAAACTCAATCCAAAATAGTGGGTCATACAAACTATGCACAATGTCTGGCAAGGTGGTCTTCATATCAGTGTACATGTCAATAATCAAGCACTACTTTGTCTCACCCTGAAGAGCAAACAGGAACGCAAGTTTTGTTAGTGCACGATTAAAATAACAGTGACTTGCGTCTCACTTCTATTAAAATTCCCACAAATATCTCTGGGGAGGAAAGCAAAATATTTTTTTGCTTCACATTTTCATTGTGAAATTATTGTGTGTTCTGAATGATTGACCACTGACGGTTATCTCAACACATGCTGTGTGAGAGGTGCCTTTAACATTCAATGACTTATTAAATACATGTACTACCAAAGTTAGGAACTTTAAAGTTGGAAAATGGAGTAGAAATATTCGGTCCACGTGAAAAGTAACAGATAAGCTGCAGACAACTCTGTGTGAATGCCACTGTCCGTATTTCAAAAGTAGCCTTTGTACAAAGCACTTGATAAAAATGTTTGAGGACCTGAGGAGGTGCATGTATTGTGTGGTAACAGCTTTATTTGTTTAAAAATAGTTTCTTTAGCTAATAAAGTTTTCACCAAGGAGCGTTTTAGTGAATGGCATTATTTCTTTCTGGAATGAATGCTTTCCGCGGAAACCCTGAATGACTAGGTCACAATTGACTGGTAACAAGGCTGTCATTACTCTGGTTTTATTTGTTCTTTGACAAGGTCCGAGTTGATCAGAGTCACAGAGAAGTCCATGTACACAAAATCATAAAGTTTAGCCTACGGCACACGAGAAAGTGAATCCTCACTAAGAGATAACAGGAAAAAAAAACTATTTACTCACAACATGCCAAAAAACAAACAAATATTAGACCTGAGCACGTATTGGTACATGCCCATCAAATTATCTTTGACCACTTTGTAGTCAGAAAAACATTTGGTACAAAAGTTCGCAGATCCAGGTGGCTGGAGAGAAGCATTAAAAAAAAAGAAAAAAAAAAAGGTTGACCATGAAATATGTACACATCTGCCTTGAATGTACACATACACATGTACACTCAGGGACACAGATGACTTGCATTTCGGAGGAAGTACATGAACATATATGAATACAGCTTTACATCTGAACATTATGTACTGCCAATTTGGGTGTCAATCTTCATGTGCTCTCATGTAGCAAAATTGGAGCAATGACCACAAGCCATGTTCGCTTGTCTTAGAGTGAAAAAGGTTGGCATATCGTTTGGGTTCAAATGCTTCCAACGCAGAGCTTTGGGGCTGTGTAAAGGGCGCCAAGCTTCTACACGCAGCGATCGTTCAATCTCAACAACTTGCACTGAAAGTTCAAAGTTTAGGGAAAAACGAAAGCTTTCCCCTGCAAAACATGGTACACTTTTGGAAAATGTTCAACACAAAAATGACAACTTCAGTACTGATACGTTCTCCCAAACCTACTGTTGCCAATGGCGACATGTGTGCTGCAGGACACTAAGTACAAGTGTCAAGAGGATTTCAGTTGTGCATGTTGACCTTGAAGCAGAAACAGTCGATGGTGTCACATTCTGGGGCCTGGCAGGCACAGTCGCAGCCAGCACACTAGTGGAGGGGAGAAATGACGAGAAGGAAGACGTTAAATGACGAATTGACAATGGAACACCTTTGGCTGGACAAAAAGCCACAAGTGACACTTGATGGGAAAAATGTATTTGATCCACGCAGTTTCCAGACAGGATTTGCCAGCAAGGCCGGAGGCATCCCGCACAGTCCCTGTGCCCAAAACTGTCCAAAGTTGTGGTCCGGGCCCAAATTAAATTCATGGCTCTGCTTACCATATAAGCAATAGCAGGGAATTTTGTGCATTTAAATGCACTGCTCTGGGCTTGCAGATGTAGCAAAGAGTCGTCCATGCTGCAAGCACAGAATTGTGTTCAAAAGCACAAGATTCCAAAGTCAGCAGAGCAATGAAAGTTAGCCCTGGGTGTCACAAGAGATGCATACATGTACATACTTGAAGCACAAACTACAGACAATGGTTGCAAAACCGTGATGGCATGACTCGTGATTCTTCTTTAATTTGGAAGAAACTGGACTTGAAAATGTGTGAAAAATAAACATCTGAAATACTGTCAGTCATTAAACTAAGAGATGGGTTGAAGTAGACCACTGTAGCTGTTACTGAATTGTCAAATGTGTTACAGTTAAATCAAGCTTTCAAGTTATTACATTTAACTGCTCAACCACATTATGTTCAGTTTCACTCAGTCTTGTACATGTACATGTGAATGTGACCTGCTCTGCCAAAAAGGGTATTAAGGGATGCTGTGCTATTCCACGCTAAGGGCTCTTCGATGTGGAGAGGGTGATTTTTGACTTCTGGGTTAATGACTTCTATTATATCATTACTTTTACAATTCATACAAGAAACCTAACTGTTGTTATGGCTATTCAAGACTTTCTTCTCAGCTGATTTCTTTTTCCACTTCCTGTGTTTAACCACTTGCTGCTTGGGGACCCGTTTTCTAGCACGTAGGCTTTATATACAGAGCTGGGGAACCTGAAATGGGACATAGGGAACTGGGCCTTGTAACAAAAGACCATACTCAGAACAAAAGACCAGGGCACCAGGCTGCTGGGCATTACCGACATTTTTTTCACTCTCAATAGTGGAGATAATCCAGCCTTGTTTTGAAACAGTATACCAGGGTTTGGGGTATTTAGAGCGAGTGGATTACCACCCAGGACAAAAGCGCTCCACCACCGCAGCGATGAGCCGCACAGCACCGCTGCACGCTAATCTGGCCCCTATTGAAAAGAGGTCAGCAGCGCACTGTGCCAGGTTCGTGAACAAAAGAAAGTTATATAACACCGCACAATCTGGACTCTTTTTACAAGGCTGCAGGCCTGGCTGAAATACTCGGGCATCAATAGATTTTGTCTGTCAGACTAAAGTGGCCACCAGACAGTAATCTGTGTGGGTGTAAACGTCCATTAATTGAATAATGAATTTTTGAAAAATTTTGAAAACTGGACATCTTGGAAAGGGCCTGATTATCATGTGCATTGCATTTTTCAACCACCCGGCAGCAAGTGGTTAAAGGGCTTTATCTCTGAAAGTACTTCTGTTAATGGGTATGATATGATTATATGCAAAAATCAATATATCTCCAGATTGCAAAATACCACAGGGTTTAAACCTGTGCCAAATTACACCTTATAATGTAACCAATTCAAATGTGTATGTGACTCAGTTTGAAAAAAAGTCCCATAATAACCATTTTTGTGGAGTCGGTCACAAACGCATGAACACTCACAGCTTTGTCATGCAATGTATGCATATGTTAGTACATGTACTGGTAACAGGTTATATAAATGGGGTTGGTTCATGGTCCATCTCCAAGATGTATGTATGTATGTATGTATGCATGATGCATGTACACGTATGTATGCCCTGATGTTCCCTAACAATCGTGGACGTTAAACAAAAGAATTAATGACCGTCCACAAGTCCTGATACGTCCACGATTGCCAAACGTGTGCAAAACATATTAGAAGCCTTCCAAAAAAGTTAAAGTATGAACAAAAGAGGACAATAGGAACGTCCGCAATTGCCAAAAAAACATGTTTCCAGGTATGTATGTATGTACAGATGTATGTACGTAGTGTGGTAGTCCACATAATGTAGGGTGCGATGGCATTGTGTGGACTCACACACGTCCACACAATGTTTTCCCCTCTCTGAAAAACGGTTTCAGAGGCATTTTGGGGTCAAGGTTATCTGCGACAAAATGAAGAGGAACAGTCCAGGAAATTACCATCACAAATCCAGCTCAAGGAGTCATTCTAGTAGGGAAAAAAGGGGCATTTTCCTCAAGTTTCCTTAACCACAGGAATGTCCACACTTTGTATGTGAAACAGGTATGGGTGCATATATGTATGTATGCAGGTTGCTTGTATAAAGAAAGGCAACACGCATGTCAGGTTGAAGAGACCCTTTTCCACAACGTTATAAAATAAGTACCCGGAATATCTTGTACCTCTGAATAAAAGTTTTGATGTGACAAAAGAAATGAATGATCCAATTGGTAAGAAACACTGATGACTGCTGAAAAGTAGCAATGACGGTGAAAATGTGGTTACTTCAGACAAACCCCCTCATAAGCTTTGATCTCTAATACATTGTAGAAATGCCCATTCGTTTCAGTAATTTTCTCCCACATCCTATATAAATCTATGTGTTGTCCTCTATTGAAGTCAGCACTTGGTCATGTATGAATACATAACTGAGTGCTATCAATCTATGGCCATCTGTCTAATACAAGGCCAGGTTGACCAACTCTGTACAGAACCCTGTTTGGTCAAACAGAGTGAAAGCCCTTTTAAGACAATGACATCATAATCAACCACCATACCAGTGGCAATCACTCATTCAACAATTTGTCGCGTGCCCAAGAGAGGGACATCCAGGTATTCTGTTGTTACCACAGCTCACATTTTGATGGTGTTTAAAACACCGTTCTGCCAGGCAGCAGACAAATTGTTTTGATGCGAGCCATTTCCAACACATACATGTACTGTCCAAACGAAAGGCATAATTGGAGTGATGATGGCATGACAACCTGCTATGATGTGACCAATAAAACATCAGGTGGTTCTATGCATTCAAGCCACTTAACACTATGTACCGTATGGAGCCTGCGCATGGTAAGAATAAAATGGAAACAGCGCTATGGGACACGAATCAACAGTACTCACTTCACAGTGTGCACAGGAGCACGAGTTATTGTTTCCACAACACTTCGAGTTGGGGTCCCCACAACACGAAGTTGACGGGGACCCACAAGAACAACAGGACTACAGGAAAGGGTTAGTGGGAAGAAACGGTATATGCAAGTCAAAAGATAAGGGATGTAGAAGCTAAAGTAACTCTGTACATGAACACAGCCTGGTGTTAGCCATAGATACAATGAATGTCTACGCATACAGGTGTAAAGATTTCTGTAATGAGCACATTTCTGTTTAGAAAGTAAAGAAACAAAACAAAACTCCAGCTACACATGCTCCTGGCTTCAGAATAGCATGTTTGCGCACAATTCAAGCTTTGTAGGATTATTCTGTACTAGAAAGCAAAACAAAACAAGTGAATATACTGACATTTTAAAAAGAAAATGAGCATTTCATAAATGCACGTACATGAGTAAATAACCAGCACAGCGGCACATTATTTGATTCAAGACAGTAACTACACACTGTACTTGTACTGCAGTTCAATTCATGTCAGCACAGCGACAAATTCTGCAGCTCTACATGATTTCTTCCAGCAGCAGGCCCCCCCAAAAACCCTTTTGACTCTGACTTAAATTTTCACTGCATGCGTACATTCGAAGTAACACATTCATTGATACTTTGTGCGCAATGACAACTGTCAAAATTCAGCGTATCACTCAGATTACAAAGGAAACCATTTTTTGTGACAAATATGCAAACCCTATCACAGGAGTGAAATATGGACAGTAGCTAACGACAGATAGAACAAGTCTCAAAAGATTCTCCACACAATACTTAACACTGATAATACAGCTTCACCACATGTATGCAAGAGGGATGTTTTAGATTAACCCTAACCCCCCAAGGGTTGCTGGCCCTAACCTTCCCCATTCACACAAAGTTGAACACCCATATGGGACTTTGTGCACAGAGGCTGTTGGCTGTTTTTCTGAGGTATGCCAAACCCAATGCAAAAGCCAGCTGTCTT